GAAATTAATACAAAAAAATAAAATTGAAATTAAAAATTAAGAAAAATATACAAAAAAAAAGATTAATAACAAGAATTAAAAAGAAAAGAATACAAAAAATTCTCTACAATAAAATTTACGCTTTGTGCTCTTTATAACGCGCGTGTTGAACTTCGAACTTTGCAATCTTTATGCTAATAAATACTAATTTTAAGTCACGTTAATGCGTACTGCGACACTTTATATATAAATATTTAAAGAATTGAACGAAAAAGAAAGAAAATAACATAAAAATTATTAAACAAAAAGAAAATGAGATTTTGTTAAAAACATATCAACTTTTAAAAAAGGGGGGAAGGAGAAACGAAAAAAAATACGCGAACGGGAATTCACGATAAGAAATTTATCATTAGTCAACCGATTAATTAATTAATTAATTAATTAATTACTTAATTAATTAATATTATTATTATTAATAATAATTATTAAGTGTACTAAGACTCGAGAAAATTATATTATTAAATCATCGATTTTAGGCCTCTTTAAAAAAAAAATATATATATATATATATATAGATGCAATTGAGTCCATAATTTGAAATTTAATTTTTCAAAAAAAAAATCATGTGCAATTATAACAAAAAATTTTTAATTAAAATTTTTTTTTTGTAATTTAAATATGAAACCAAAATTGCGCTTTAAGAATTTCGAATGAAAAAAAAATTTTTTTTGATTTACGCTCATATATGTTTTGAGTAGCAAAAACAAAAATCTCAGCGCTGAAAAAATAAACGCGGAATTTTATATAAAGAATGTTGAAAAAAGAATTTTTGAAAAAATATTAATTATCGATAATAGCGCTAAAATTTTAAGTGTTCGTGCTAAGATTTAAAGAAATAAAGAGAAGAAAAAAAAAGAAATCTATAGACTGCGATGTAAGCAATTTTTAGGTTTAAATTTTTTGCGTTTAAAAATTCGACTGAATCAATCAAATTTAAATTTTAATTAATTATAATTAATTATCGGTAATTAATTAATTACAATTATTTAATTGTAGAAAGTAACGAATTAATTAGTTAATTACAATAATTAATTTAATTAATTGAATTAATTTGCGATTTACAGTTAATTAATTCAAATTAGTTAATTATAATTAATTAATTATTGAAATAATTAGTTACTTGTAGTTAATTAGTTTCACTAAAAAAGATATTAATTTAATTAATTACTTTATTTTGCTTTAAAAAATAAAATTGTACTTAATTAGTTAATTTTACTTTAAAAAAAAAATTTAATTAAGTACCAAATTCAAAGCAAAGTAATTAATTATATTTAACTGAAAAGTTAATTAAACTTTTTGAATTTTCAAATAAAATTTCAAAAAATTCCATTTCGATTGATTTCATCGAATTTTTAATATTTTGCTCGATTTAAAAATTAACGAAAAATTCATTTTTTTTCCCAAGCGCTCCTAATTTTTGTAGCGCTATTGAATTTTTCTTTTTAAACCTAAAAAAATTGTTGTCAAGAACTAATTCTTAAGGAAAAGAATCTAAATCAAAATTTTCTTAAATTAGCAAAAAAAAGAAATCAGTTCTTGTCAAACAAAAAAAGAAGACAAAGAAAGCAAAATAAAAAATTTTGTTTCATTAAAAAATAGTTCAAAAAAAAATTCTATTATAAAAAAATAGTTCCAAAATGAAGACTTATAAAAAACATTTTTTTTGCTATTATAATTATAAAAAAAAGAACTGAATTTTTTTTCCAAAAAACTAAAAGGGAAGGAAAAATCGATAGATGCCTCATCAAACAATTTCTACTTAATTCCAATTAATAATTATCGCATTTGTACTACTATTTATTAAAAAAAAGTATATATATATTTATTATTTAGGGATCTGACTAAATTAAAAAAAAAATAAAATTTTTTTTGTATATCATTAAAAAAATAGGATTATCGATCGCTTAGAGCGATAAAAGAGAGGCAATGAAAAGGCCTTTTACTCTTAACAATTTTTTTTTTTGCGGAGTTTTTTTTCAAAAAAAAAAATAAAATCTCCGCTGTGTATAAAAATAAACAAACAAAAAAAGAACGAGCGAACACGATCGTCGAGTCGATAAGAAATAATAATTACTTAATATTGTTCATTTAAATGCGCATTTATTATTATTTTTTTACACTAATTTTTTTTTTTAGTTTTTTAATAGCGAAAACTTTTTTTTTTGCCAAAGTACCTGCTTCGGGAATAATAAAAAAATTTTTTTTGAGACTTTTTTTTACTTTTTATTATTTTTTTTTAATAGCAAAAAACAGGTACCGTCCGGTGTACATCGCTTAACAAGAAAAAAAAGAGAAATAAATAAAATACGTTTTTTTGCCCAAACAAACATGAAAAAAAAACGTAAGAACAATTTTTTTATTTTATAATAAATATAGTATTATAGAAATATTCTGAGCCAAGAATGATTTTTTCGCGATTTGGTCGTGTCTTGAAATAATTATTGTATAAAGAAGATTTAAAAATAAAAAAAAACAAAAAAAATTAATAAATAAAAGAATTACAAAAGAGAAAAGTGAGAGAAAAAGAGAAAAAGAGAGAAAGAGAGAGAGAGAGAGAGAAAGATAGAAAGAGTGAAAGAGAAAATAATGAACGTAAAGTATATAATAGTGAAAAAAAACTGTCGACGAACAAAAAAAAAATTTTTTTTCTGTTGGTTTGTTTGTTTGAATGACTCGAAAACATTTTTCCTAATGGTGTTGTCAAGACGATGTTGAATGTACATAAGATATAATAAAAATAACCTTATACAATGTAAAAATGTTTGAGTCTCATTTTTTTCCCTTCAAAAAAAAATTATTTTCCCTTTTCTTAAAAATATTAATAAAAAAAAGGTAATTTTAGAAAAAAAATTTATTTTAGAGGAAAAAAAACCAAAATTTTTCCAAAAATATTTATTAGCAATTAAAAAAAGTATTTATAAAAAATTAAAAAGAACTTTTAATTAACAATTGACATTAGAATTTTTTATAAACAATTACGAGCTAATTTAAATAACAAAAATAGAATTATTTTTTAAAACAATTTAGAATAATTTTTATTAAAAATTTTAAATAATTTTTATTAACAATTAACAATTTAAAAGGATTTTTTGTAAACAATTAGAAAGAATTATTTTTATTAACAATTTTGGAAGAATTTTTATTAACAATTAACTATTTAAAACGTTTTTTTGTAATCAATTAAGAAAAATTTAGTTTATCGACAATTTTGGAGGAATTTTTATGAAAAATTTAAACTCAAGGAATTTAAACAATTAAGAGGAATTAATTTTATTAACAATTTGACAACATTTCTTATTTAAACATTTAGGAAGCATTTTTTTATTATTAACTTTAGAAGAATTTTTATTAACAATTGACAATTTAAAAGAATTTTTTATAAACAATTTAGAAGAATTTATTTAATTATTAATTAATTTTTTTATTAACAATTATACAGAATATTTTTTTTTTATTAACATTTTTGGAAGAATTTTTATTAACAATTATCAACTTAAAAAAATTTTTATTAACAATCAGAAATAATTTTAATAGACAATAATAAAAAATATTTTTATTGACAATTTAGAAAAATTTTAATTAACAATAAAACAAATTTTTTAATTATCTATTCGCAGACTATTTTTTTCTATAAACAATTTACAAGATTTTACTTGTTTGACAATTAAAAAATAATTTTTTGAAAAATTTTAATTTTCTATAAATAATAAAAAATTTTTACTTTATTAACAATTAAAAACAATTTTTATAAACAGTTAAAAAGATTATTCTTTATTGACATTTAGATTAATTTTTATTATTTTAATGACTATTTGAATTAATTTTTATAAACAATTTTATTTTTTTATAAACAATTAAAATTTTTTTTTATTATATTAACAATCGAAAACAATCTTTATAAACAATTAAAAAGATTTTAATATATTAACAATTGAAAACAATTTTTATAAACAATTTGAATTTTTTATAAACAGTTAAGAATATTTTATTTTATTAACAATTAAAAACAATTTTTATAAACAATTAAAAAGATTTTACATTATTAAGATTTAAAAACAATTTTTATAATCAGTTAAAAAGATTGTTCTTCATTAACAATTTAGATCAATTTTTATAAACTGGTTGAATTAATTGAAAACAATTAAAAAGATTTTACTTTATTGACAATTTAAATTAATTTTTACAAACAATTTGAATTTTTTATAAACAATTAAAAACATTTTACTTTATTAACTATTAGAAACAATTTTTATAAACAATTAAGAAGATTTTACTTTTATAACAATTGAAAACAATTTTTATAAACAATTAAAAACATTTTATTTTACTGACAGTTTAAAACAATTTTTATAATCAATTTGAATTTTTTATAAACAATTGAAAAGGTTTAACATTATTAACAATTTAAAACAATTTGAATTTCTTATAAACAATTAAAAAGATTTAACTTTTATTAACATTTGAAAGCAATTTGATAAACAATTAAAAACATTTTATTTTATTGACAGTTTAAAACAGTGTTTATAAGCAATAATTTTATTTTTTGCTAATCTTAATAATAATTTTATATTATTATTATTTTTATTGTTATGACAAATTGTAATAATTTTTATTTTGCGTGAAATATAATTAAATATAAAATAATTTAGAATTTAGGTTAATATACTTAGAATTTAAATCTTGTGAAGCGTTTGCCTTAGAATTTATAATAGATTGATATAATAATATAATAGATTGGAAATTGAATACAACAAAATAAAAGTAAAATATTCTCTAGAATTAAAATAAAGTAAAAGTAAAAAAAATTGTCGTTTCTGTTTATTGAAATAAAATAAGCGCCTAAACGTGATCTATTCGATCAGCACGACTGTAAGTGTAAATGCCCAACAACCAAATGAACAACCCATCCCTGTAGTTGACTTTTCCGCCTTGCGTGGCGCTAGTGCAGCACAACCGTTGTATCCCCCGCGCGCGCTTTCAGTGTTCCATGAGCTTCCATCGTGCAACAAGGTGAAATCAACACTGTGTGCGTGTGTGTGTGCTTTTTTCTCGTCTCCTACCTTACCTATATTCGCGAACAGTCTGCGTTCACTTGGACGCCGTTAAAGTGCCTTTAAATCAATTTCTTTTCCCTTAAAAAACAAAACGAGATTTTACAAAAAAAATTATAATCAAGATAAAAAAATGGCGGACGACGGTCACGAGAATGGAACATCGAATCATGTTGTTCCCGAGATCGAATTAATCATTAAGGTAAGTTTCCAGACTTGCCGAAAAAAAAACAGTTGCGTATGTGTGCGAACTTCTCGTTTCTCTATCTCTCTCTCTCTTACTCTTTCCTTCTTTCGTACATTAAAATGGGCGTGGAAACGCCTCGTTTTCAATTTTCTTTTTCCGCTTTGATCATTCACCTTTTGGTAAAAAACTAGTTCCGGTTTCGGGGAAGTTTTTCTTTTTTTTAAATTCAACTGTCGTTATTTCTATTTTTCGTGGAAATTTCGAGGAATTGAACTCAGCGTTTCACTTTAAAACATCGTTACATTCTCTCTCTTTCTTTCCACTTTAACTTTCTTTCTTTCTCTCTCTTTCTCATTTCAAAATCAAGTCCAGTGTTGCCGAAACAGCTTCATACTGGCGTCCAACACATAACAATTTTCTTTGCTCAGCTGTCTTTTGTTTTTATTTCCATGTCAAAAGTAACGGTGATTCTTACATTGCCGAAAAAAAATAGTTTTTTATTTTTATTAAAGTATTTAACGAAGAATTTAAATTCGTTCATTTAATTCCAACATTTTTCCTAATTGTAAATTCCTCGTGAACGTGTTTGAATATTTACTTTTTCTTAATTCAATTTTCCGAATTATTTATTCCTAAAATTTATTTTTCCGAATGATATTTTATTTTTGAATGCAATGAATTTACTCTATTGTTACATTTAAATTGCAATTGTTTTCCATTCAACAAAATCAATGTAATCTTTGGTATAATTGTCATTTCACTTTTCAAAATTTTAAGTCTTTTATTAAAAAATTAATTCATTAATTTTTTGAAAAAAATATGCAAAGACTTCATTATCAAGTAATAATGAAAATATTTATAAACATGTAAATAATATAAATGAACCATTTTTTAAAGATAAATTATAATTTTTGTTTTTTACATTCTTATGATTATAATCATAAATGTAATAATTATTAATTACTACAGTAAATGTTACTGTTCCATTTATTATTTTGCAAATTTAAAAATTTTATATTTTCAAATAATCGAAAAGATTCAATTATTTTTAAAAAATTTTTAATAAAATTCTTGATAAGAATTAAATTATTTTCAAAAATTCTAAGAACCTTTTTTTAGATGTATTTAATTCTTTTTATAAATAATATTTTTTGCGAGAATTCAATTATTTTCAATGCAATATAATTACATTTTCTCGAAAGAATTCAATTATTTAAAAAAAATTTGATAAAATCATTCAAATGACTAATGTATTATTTTCAAATTTTTGGATAAATAATTTGCAAGAATTTAGTTCGTTATGGAATCATAATTAGTCGAACAATTTTTGGATTTTTATATCAATTTATTGTAATTTTTGCAATTATTTTGTTTGCTAATATCAAAAATTAATTCAAAATTTTTTTCAATTTGAAAAATAAAGCAATTTTTTTAATAACTAAAATTGAAAATCGTACAAAGTCGATAACATTTTCTTTGAATAACTAATTCTAGATTTTTTTGACAGAAAATTATTTTTGCAAACGTGCTCAATTTTTGAAATTTCATAGAGCCTAATTTTTCAAAAAAAGAAATTTTTAACAGCGTGCAATAGTATTTTGATGCTACTTTATAATTCATATGTATTAACGTATCTTTCATTTACAATCGTTTATTTCAAACATTGTTTAAGATTTATCTTGTTCTTCATTCAACGATTTATCTTTTGTTTGCCGCCTGGCCTACTTCTTGGGTTTTCTTTTTTAAAAAGTTTAAAGAAATAATAATAATAATGAACGTTCATTAACTGACAATCTTAATTTTGATAAAATTCCTATCCGATTATCAACTGCACTCGGTTTCCGTAATAAAACAAAAATCTTGTTAAGTGTCTAAGGTAAACAATTTATTTAATTTTTGTAAAAATTTTAATCCTAAATTTTTAGATTAAAAAATTATTTTTTATTAAAAAAATTTTGAAAAAACTCGTCAATACTCTAATGGAATATTTACCCCCTCTACGAATACCATTCTTAATTAAATAAATCAACAGTAATATGGTACTTAGTACCAATTTCTTGGGATTTCATTGTAAGTTGAATAATCTTCAGTAATATACTAGTACCTCCCTCTTTTTTTGTATTTTATTGCAAGTTGAATAAACTTTAGTACCAAAATAGTACCCCTCCCCCTTTTTGGTATTTCATGCAAGTTAAATAATTAAAAATATTATACAATAATATATTGTAATTATATTTTTATTAGTTATTATAAATTTTTATTTTAAAACAATTTTACTTTCTTAAAAAATTTACTAGACAGCTGACAATAATAATTTAAGACTCAAAAAAGAAATGTCGAGTTAAATTGAAAGGAAATAAGAAAAAGTTGCTTGATTCCTCGGGGGGTGTTTAAAAATAAATCTCAAACAACTTCGATTCTTCGGAAGCGCTTATTTTAAAAGAAAAGCAATTTCACTAAAATAAGACTCGATTCACTGGGTGACAGAAAAAAAAGAAGTCGTTTTGTACCTTTCCTTTACTCTCTCAACTTGTCCAGAAAGTAAGGGAGTAGAAAATCGAGAGCCAATCATGACCGGTTTCCAGTTTTTTTTAAAGAGGGTCATTGTCTTTTCATTCATCCAGTATTTCTGCGGACAATTATTATTTTTCCTCCTTCCGTCCAATTTTCAGGAAATAATCATTTCCTGTTGTAAATTTCTTCTTTTACTAATTCAAAAATTATTCACGGGGCGCGGCTAATATACTTTTTTTAGGTTCAAAGGTCAAATAAACGTTAAAAGCAAAAATAAAATAAATATGAATTTATGCATTTAGTACGTGCCAGAAATGTCGAACGCGTATTGGGTCACCGCTCGTGTGTGCGCATTTCGTTTGCTTAACTGTACATCTGGGCTCGTCTCGCTTATACAATCACGTCTTGTCTCTCATTTTCCTCAAACGCTCTCTTCATGAACCGTGAGTGTTCATTTTATTATTTCTATTTTTCTCCTCAACGCCGCCTTCTTTATCTCCTCCCACCAAAATATTAAACAATGATTCTTTATTATATTCAAATTATAGAAGTAATAGAAGTTCTCATGGTTTATAAAAGAGGAAAAATGTTTTTTTCCTTTAAAAAGATGAAAATTTTTATTTTAGTTGTAACTATTATTATTTTTGTATAAATTTATAAAAATATGTAACATTTTTCATTGATATTAAAGATTGTTTTCAGGACCGATTTCTACAGAAGACGGGAGTACTGATCATTATACTACTGAAGATTGCTTTATAAGATACCACTCTAAAGGGGGTACTTACCATTATACTACTGAAGATTGTTTAATAATATGCCACTCGAAAGGGGGTACTGACTATTATACTACTGAAGATTATTTAATAAGTTACCACCTCTAAAGGGGGTACTGACTATTATACTACTGAAGATTATTTAATAAGTTACCACCTCTATAGGGGGTACTGACTATTATACTACTGAAGATTATTTAATAAGTTACCACCTCTATAGGGGGTACTGACTATTATACTACTGAAGATTACTTAATAAGTTACCACCCTAAAGGGGGTACTGACCATTATACTACTGAAGACAATTTAATAAGTTACCACCCTAAAGGGGGTACTGACTATTATACTACTAAAGACAATTTAACAAGATACCACCCTAAAGGGGGTACTTACTATTATACTACTAAAGCTATTTTAAATAATTCCCTTTGTAGCAGGGGTGCTCTCTGCACCTCTAAAAAAATTAGGTTCCTAAACTTTAATAGACTATTCTAATCATTATTATAGATAATTTAATTAGAAACTTGAAAGGAAACGACTGTTATTAGAAATCGTTTTATTAAATAATAATAGTAATAATAATAAATGACTTATAATTTTTTTCTGAAATGACTTTTAGTATTAATGTAATTATTCCGGGCCGTTAGAATATAAAACACCTGACCTTGCAACCAGGTTTTTTTAAGTATGTCACGTGGGACGTTCGGATCCTCCTTGAAATCTCCATATACTCCTCGTACCGTTAGTGGCTGGACTTACTCTCCTCCCTCTCTCTTCCCCTTTAAAACTTCTTCGCTCCATTAACTGAGGGCATCTTGTAGAAAAACGCTCGTTTAACCGGCAAATAAACTTCCTTGGTGACTCACGTGGTTAAATAATTTTTTCTTTCGTTTGTAAATATTCTCCCAAGTGCTGGGCAAATAAAATCGAACAAAAATCATTGTCCTCGAAAACGTGTTTTAAATTTGTAATATTTGTTCTCATGTATCAAAAGTTTAGAAAGAATTAAAAATATCAAGTTTTTTTGAAAATTATTTTAAGAGATTAACAAAATTTCTTAGAGGATAGAATCTGTTTGAACAATTAGGTGAATTATTTTATTTTTCGAATTCAAAAATTCATTCAGACGTCACTGCTTCTTTTTTTACATAAGTGCTTTCAATTATCAATTTTTGAACGGGTGCCAAAAATTTGAGAGTGAAACGGATAGATTCATATTTTTTACTACATTTGTCTTGTACAAATTTGCATTTTGGAAAATTGTTTACAAAAGAACGAGAGTTACAAATTGATATGTGAGCGTCATTGATAAATATAAATTAGCCTAAGCGATCACGTGTTTAACACTAACGCGCGTAACTTCACACACCGGGCGGAAACTGTTGTCATCGACAAATCCGAATCACTTTTCATCTTTAAATATTACTTTTTTCTAATTAATCCCCTTTTTCAAATTTTTTAAATCTTTTTTTTAATTTTATAAATGTATTAAGTTTACTTACTTTACCATAAACAAGTCTTGTAAATAATTTTTAAGAAAACATGATAAAAATTGTAAGGAATTACAATTTTATTGTATCGAAAGATTCAGTAAAGAAAAATTGCGCTTGTCCTTGAAAATAATGTACAGGTCAGAGTTATGGTCAACGGAAGATATTTATTTTTTTTTTTAATTCTATGAAAGGACAGGATTCACTTTTTCTTTTCTTATGGAATTACAAGGTTTAGAAATAAATCACAAGATTCTTGAGTTCGATTTCCAAATTAAATATAGAAAACTAGACTCTTAAATTATCATTAAATTTAAATTCAACTTATCAATAAGTTTCTGGTTTATCGTTGAACAACTTTAACAATTAACCTTCAAAATTTAATTCTTATCAATAAATACTTATTCCTTATCTTTGAAAATGAATTTAAATTATGAAATACGTTCAGATAAATGGTTATGTCATTTTTTGAAATCATTCAGATGTATTCCAATTGCCTTAAAAAATTAAAATGAAGTTAATTAAGATGGTTCTTTGATTTTAATATTAGACTTGTTATTTAAAATTATCAGTGCGTTTGTTCCTTATCAATTCTCATATAAAAAGAAAATTAACTGATAAGGCTAAAAACTATTCTTTTAATAGAAGAAAGTAATTTAATATTAGAAAAATAATCGTTTCACAAGAACTTTAAATTAAAAATTTCAAGTTAATTTATTGAATCAAGTTTAATGAAACTAACAATGATTTATGAATTAGTAATTTAACTTGAAGTTTCTAGAATGATCTCATTCGGAAAGGGTAACAGCACCATAAATGGTTTCATGGTGACTATTTCATTTTAAGTCGGTTTATCACACACGGTCAATGTACCCTATATCGATTTTAATTAGATTCGCATAAAACTTGAGTACATATTGTAACCAAACTTACAAGCAAGAAAACAAAATTTCGTATTTATTTTCCCCGGTGCTTTTTTTATCCTTCAAATTTCTTTTTTCTTCCAAAAGGGAAACAAGTGTCATATACTGGAACTACAAGTCTAGTTTTCTAAAAGCATTCTTGTTTGTATGAAAGCAAATTCCTTTCTAAATGGCGTTTTGTCCTGACTCGATAAAATATTCTCTTTCTCTTGAAAACTCATTTGTACTTTCTATTCCACGACTCTTCCCATCGTGTATGAACCTTAATTATCCGTTAATCATCATCATCATCATCTTTTTTATTAGCACAAACGAATTTATACTAATATTGTCTTCACAAATTCTTTTTATTGGTATCGGCTAAAACGAATTCGTGTAATTTTTTTCACCTCTTGTAGAACAATTTTTTTCATTATTAAAAATAATTTGCGATATGTCGATAGTTGAGAGAAAAATGCAAAGACAGCGGGAGTTGGATTTCGAAGGCCATAGAACACGCGGAACAACCAATGCCAGGAATAAATGCGAGGGACGAGGAATTTACAGCGAAACTGTTAGCGATGTTGCAATTTAACCAACATTGAGACATCAAAGTAGCATGATCTATCGAACAATTCTTTGAAATTCGTTGAGGAAATCGGGGATTTACTAACAATGCGGGGAAATAATTGTTAGGAATGTTATTCTTGAGAAAAAACCAGAAACAGAAGCATAGTGTTCTTTTATAATGAGGGGATGACTTAACTGGAGGTACACACTCGTGATGAATCTGCTATTAAAAAAATTATTTGATTAAAAGTCTCCGGGAAGGATACTGATCCTACTGAAGATTATTTAAAAAGAAGAAGCCTTCATAGAAACCTTAAAAGGGGGGTGTTGGCTATTAAATTACAGACGATTATTAAAGTCGAAGTCTCCAGGAGAAAAAATGGGTGGGGGTACTGATCATTATACTACTGAAGATTTATTTAACTAAAAATGAACTTCGGTTTGCTAATGCCAATTGCTAACAATTGGAATAGTGACAATTTATATTTCGAAAGGTTTATTTAAATAATAATCAGATCCCAAAAAGGGAATACTGAACACTATACTACTGAAGATTAATTTGATTAACAAAATAACTAAAAAGCAAATGCTCACAATTATACTGTAGATTTATTTAACTATTAATGAGACCTGAAAAAGGAGGTTAGTGACAATTTATCATACTGAAGATTTATTTAAATAGCAATGGGATCTTAAAAAAAGGGTTAGTGACAATTTACATTACTGAAGATTTATTTAAATAACAACGAGATCTTAGGAAGGGGGTTAATGACAATTTACATTACTGAAGATTATTATAATTAACAATGGGATTCTAAAAAGGGGTTAGTGCTAATTTACTTAACTGAATATTAATTAAACTATCAATAAGATATTAAAAAGGGGGTTAATGATAATTTACATTACTGAAGATTTATTTAAACAACAATAGGATCTAAAACAGGGGGTTAGTGACAACTTACATTACTGAAGATTAATTTAAATAACAATCAGATTCCAAAAAAGGAATACTGACCATTATACTATTGAAGATTTATCAAAATTATAATTTGTATTTTAAATTAAAGAGTTGTAACTATTATATAACTTAGAATTATTCAACTTACAATAATATTTTTCAAAGGGGTTATTGACCATTATATTACTAAAGATTATTCAACTTTCAATAAACATCTAAACAGGGGGTACTATTATATTACTGAAGATTATTCAACCTAAAATGAAATCGTTAAAAAGGAGTTAGTGACAATTTACGTTATTGAAGATTATTAAGCTTACAATGAAATCCAAAAAAAGTGTGTAATTATTATAGACTTATTTGAATAACAATGGATTATAGAAAAACTTGTATTATTATATTACTGGAGATTAAACAACTCACAATAAAATTCTAAAATGGGAGTACTGGCTATTATATTACTGAAGATTATTCAACTTACAATGAAATCGAAAAAAGTGTGTTACCTTATTTTTTTGTTTTGTAAAAAATAGAGGATTTGAAATTTCTTAATTCTTATAAGTAAAATTTGTATATATTTTAAACAATAGAAAAGTAGGATGCCTCTAACTTATTTTTCATGTTTCGTAATAGGGAAAGGTTAGTAGAAAAGTAGGTAAAATGTGGCGGAACTCTTTGGCAGGATTCTTCTGCCTGACATTTAAAATATTAAAGTTTACAGCGAGTCGTTTTCTTACCCTAGGGGGGAGGAGGAGGAGGGTTCTAGGGACAAATATCATTTGTAATTTTCACCAGTCGCTGGTGCGTGAGTCACCTTTCATATGAACTTTAATACCTCCATTACTAAAAGCGACAAGGTATTGTTTGATAAAATCTTCATGGTTTAAACGACTAAATCCTTTTTAACATATTTAGAACATTTATTAAATTAATTCAATTTACTTTAACTTTTAATTCAATCATTTTAATGATTAAACCGAGTAAAAATAAAAAGCACCTATTTGATTTTATTTTAAATTCTTTTGGTATTCTATCGAAAGTTTAGAAATTTGTTTAATTGTATTTATATTAAAATTTTTTTAAAAATTATATTCCTTATTTTAAAAAATTGGTTTCTGTTTGTAAGTCTTGTTGATGTTTTATTCTAGAAGGGTATTTAGTTTTAAAGCCCGCAGTTTTTTCAAGCTCAAGAACAAATCGAAGCTATTAACGATTCATTCCTCGTAATACTCCTTAGACACGTTCGGTGCCACGTGCATTTTATTAAATCCCCCTCAATATAGTAGACACTCAAAAAAATCATTAACCTCCGATATATAGATAGAGGAGACGGAAACATGAGCTCAACACTTAATCCATCGCTTAATATTCTCTAGACATGTTCCAAACTTTTTATTAAACATTTTTATCATTCTTTTGTTGAACAAAAATTAATTTTAAAAAAGTTCAAGTACTTGAGTAGCAAAACTATTTCTTCATTTCATATTGCAATTTTAGAATAATTAATTACATTCCCATTTTTTATTGTAATTAAAAAATTCGGTCTATAAACATTTGTTATGTCTATCTAAATCTATTTATTTGAAACCGCTTTTTATTTGGTTTTCATTTGGAAGTTTAAAAATATTTTGAGGAACTGACCAGACTCAAAGTGAAAAAAAAGTTGGGACACGGACATTAATCGTACCTTGACCAAAAGAATTCACACGAGAATCGAACCTTGACTCATCGAAGGAAATTGACTATTGCTGCACGACAGAAGTGTTTTGCGGGCCTTGACTTTCTCGTCGGTTGCGCAATCCGACCACTAGATCCAAACGTAGAGGACGAGCTTGTTTTGTGCGTCATCGAGTTAAGAAAACATTGTACACTCGTTAAATTAATCATCAAGAACGAAAAGTATTTGAATTTTCGGTCGAATTTGCGCTTTATTATGCAAACAAAAAATTTACCTTTCCATAAAAATTTGTTTTTTCTCGCGAAATAATTTCTTAGGAGTAAAATATTTCTTTCTAACATTAGTTGCTTTTCCGTTTAGTAAATATTTTAACCTTGAATATTATTATCAGAGAACTGATACCGTTTACTCGCTGTTCGACATAATAGCTTTACCTTCAAGTTTTTTCTCCTGTCTTGAGAATTTTATGAACTTCTACTTGATCGATATGGTTTCTTTAAAAAATATTTGAAAAAATGCTATCAATACATTTTTTAGCATGGAGATAATTAAATAGAAGAAATTGAATGGAAACGAAATTAAATTATCTTCCCGTTTTTTGTTTGCAGGCATCGACGATAGACGGTCGCCGAAAAGGTGCTTGTCTCTTCTGTCAGGAGTACTTCATGGATCTTTATCTACTCGCTGAATTAAAGACAATTTCGCTGAAGGTCACAACTGTAGACATGCAAAAACCACCGCCAGACTTTCGCACCAATTTCCAAGCGACGCCACCGCCAATTTTAATTGATCGCGGTGACGCTATTCTTGAGAATGAAAAAATTGAACGACACATCATGAAAGTTATTCCAGGTGGACATAATCTTTTTGTTCAGGACAAGGAGGTTGCCACATTAGTGGAGACAATTTTTAGCGTGAGTTATATTTTATATTTCTAAGAAGTGGATAATTGAATTTTTAATTTTTACTAATTATTCTTTCTCTTTCTTTCAAATTGCAGAAGTTGAAATTGTTGTTAATTTCAAAAGATAAGGATGTTGATCCAATGAATTCATCGTTGATGACACACCTACGTAAAATAGATGAGCACCTTGGACGAAAGGGAACACGATTTTTGACAGGCGACACAATGTGTTGCTTTGATTGTGAATTGATGCCGCGCCTACAGCACATCAGGGTCGCTGGGAAATATTTCGTTAATTTTGAAATTCCCGAGACTTTGGTACACCTTTGGCGGTATATGCATCATATGTACAGGCTCGATGCATTTCTACAAAGTTGTCCCGCTGATCAGGACATTATTAATCACTATAAACTACAACAGGTACAGAAATGAGTTTAGAGTCATGTAACTAAGATAATTTGATTATCAAAAAAACGTTCTTGATCTCGACACTCCTGAAAGAATGTGCGAATATAAAAATTAGGGATCGGAAGAAAAGAGTCATGTGCACGATTTTTAAAAACTCTTACAATTAGTTTTATGAATCTTATGCTAAATTAAGAGAGGATAAAAATTAGTGACATATTTTTTCGTCCGATTCCAAAGATTTTTTCTGTAAGGAGAGGTACTGTCTACTATACTACTGAAGAAATATTTACAAAAAATCCTCGAAAAGTGGATACTGAACATTATACTAAAGATTTATAAGAGTGTCACTAAAAAGCTATAAATGGGTGTACTGACCATTATACTACTGAAGATTTATATAAATGACACTAAAAAGCTAAAACTGGGTGTACTGACTATTATACTACTGAAGATTTTAATTTAAACCTAGAGGGTATAAATCACTATACTGTTAAACAGATACACACTGAAACTGGGTGTACTGACCACTATACTACTGAAGATTTTAATATAAAAATTGGGGGGTATAAACAACTATATACTACTGAAGACATAAACGTTAAAATTGGGTGTACTAACCATTATACTACCAAAGATTTTAATTTAAACCTAGAGGGTATAAATCACTATATTATTAAACACATACACATTAAAACTGGGTGTACTGACCATTATACTACTGAAGATTTTAACAAAATTTTATTTGATAAACTTACCCTTTTAGATTGACTCACTAATCTTATTCTGGTATTACAATCCTATTTATTAAAAAGACAAAACATAGTTGAATATGAAGGTTTCTCATCTACTCCATATATAGAGACCTCAGGCGTTCCTCAGGGGTCAGTATTGGGTCCAAGTCTTTTGGGCCTTTACATTAACGACCTTTCTGTTTACAACTCGGCCTCACAAACCTTAGGAATGATTTCAAGTAATATAAAACACTTTAAAGATATAAAAGTTCTTAAAGACCTTTTTAACTCACTTGTCTGACCTAAAACCGAATACGTACCACATATATGGGATCCACATTTCGAAAAAAATGAGTACCTTGAGAAAATACAAAAAGTTTTTTTAAAATATTGCTATCTTCTTCTTCACCATCAATATCGTGAGCGTGGTTACCCATATATTGAGCTTTGCAAGGAATTCAATGTTACTCTTCAAAATAGACGCACTCATATTCAATGCAAATTTATATATACTTTAATAAACATCATCGATTCCTGACAATTAATTGAACGTCTATTATTCAAATTTCCACGATTGAATGACAAATTTAACAAACCATTTGTCTTAACTTTGCCTTCGACCTCCGCCAGTTATCACTCTCCCTCACATCGAATGACTAGTTTGTTTAATGATAATTTTTCGAACAATACTAAAATCGATTTCTATAATTCTACACTATTTAAATTTTATAATTATTTAAAACACATGCATAAGAACAAAGTACTCTTTGACAATTGTATTTAACAGTAAGCACTAGTGCCAGTTAAGATCATCTGATTGTAGGCTGTGCTATTTTGCAAAAAAAATAAATAAAATTAAGGAGTACAAACATTACTGAAAATTAATTTAGGCAACATTGGGATTCTAAAAAAGGGACATAGTGTCATTTTACATTACTGAAGATTTATTTAAATTATAATAAGATTATAAAAAGGGGTTAGTGACAATTTACATTACCGAAGATTTATTTAAATAACAATCAGATCTTTCAAAGGGGGTTAGTGACTATTGATATTACTGAAGACTTACTTAAAAATATGATCTTAATAAGGGGGTTAGTGACAGTTTACATTATTGAAAATTTAGTTAAACATCATCAATGGGATCTTAAAAAATCTTAGAAAAAAGGTTGGTGATAATTTACTTTACTGAAGTTTTACTTAAATAACAATAAGACATTAAGAAGGGGATTAGTGTCAATTTACATTACTGAAGATTTATTTAAATAATAACATGATTTTAAAAAGGGGGTTAGTCTAAATTTACATTACTGAAGATTAATTTAAATAACAATGGGAACATAAAAGGGGGTGGGGGGGTTAGTGACAATTTACATTACTGAAGATTTATTTAAATAACAATGGGATTCTAAAAAAGGGATTAGTGGCAATTTACATTACTGAAAATTTATTTAAACAACCGTGGGATCTTCAAAAGGTGGCTTGGATCATTTACATTACTGAAGGTTTATTTGAATAACAATGTGATCTTAGGAAAGGAGTTAGTAACAATTTACATTAGTGAAGATTAATTTAAGTAACAATAGGAACTTAAAAAGGGGATTATTAACAATTTATATTACTGAAGATTTATTTAAGTAACAATGGAATTCTAAAAAGGAATTAGTGACAATTTACATTACTGAAGAGTATTTTAACAATAATAAGATTTTAAAGAGAGGGTTAGTAATAATTTACATTACTGATGATTAATTTATGAAACATTGGGATTTTAAAAAATGAATTAGTGACAATTTACATTACTGAAGATTATTCAACTTACAATGAATCCTAACAAACGAATATATCTACTATTAAACTACTGAACTTTTAAATCTAGTTTTAATATTAAAAATACCTTCCTAGGCGCATTAAATTAAACAAAATATCATTTCAGAGCATGAAGCTGAAAAAACACGAGGAACTCGAAACGCCGACGTTCACAACCAGCATTCCTATTGAAGTGAATGATGATTAAAAATTAAGTTCAACATTACTTGAGTCTTCAAACACATCAAGAAGATCGACAACATCATCGACAAAAAGCGCAGGATCGAAATTTTCTCGTCGTCGTTGTTGTCGAATCTTAAAAAAAAAGAACTTCTTTTCCTGTTTTTTCATTTCAAATGTAAAACGCGGTCCAATCTTTACTAGCTTCTTTAATTTTGTTACATAAATGAAAAAAAGTAATTCTCAAGTGAGAATTTTTCAATCTCTAAACGAAATGAAAATGACCTAATTTTTCGCTAAACGCATATTTTTACGTATCGCTTCTACGTAAAATCGTTTTTTTTTAAAACAAAATATCGCCTAAGATTTTCAATAATCGACAATATTTTTCTATATTATATCACAACAAAAAAGAATGCGTATCCGTCCTGAATGGAATTGAATTCCAAGGCAATTTGAAAGCGAAAAACAAAATGAATTTTGCATTAAAAGAAAATTGTAGGATTCTTGTTTTGTGAAAATGTAACCGGTTTTAATCATTTTTCTTAGAATTGTCAAAAAACGTAGAATATTTTTTCAAAAATATGTTTCGACGCTTTATAAAAAAATTAATGTAGACAGAATTTTTTTTTATTAGGGCGAGAAGAGAAAAATTTCGTACTAAAATAACAAAAAATATGTATATAATTTATATATTTCTAAATAGAGAATATTCTCGAAAATTTTACAATTTACTATTTTGTAACAAAAACGGTTAAAAAAGAAAAAGGGGTTTTATTTCAAAGAAATGTTACGATTTTTAGGCGGGAAAAAAGTATTTCTTCTTTAGCAATTTTTTTCGTTAAAAATAGTTTTTATATTTTTCGTTTGAATGAATTCGTTTTTTTCTGTTAATTTTGCATTTATAAAGTTTTTTGTTTAGCTCGTGTGGAAAGTAAAAAAATAAATAAAATCAAAATACGTATTAAAAAACTATGCGTAATAAGTGGATTTGCATTTATTTTGCTTTCGTAAATTTCTCAACAAGTCAATTACAAAAAGAAAAAATTTTTAAGGCTTGTGAAAAACCGGGTTTTCGTTTTCTATTTTTTTTTTAAGGGGGAAAATAAAAAAAGTTGCTTTTTAAAAACAAGCAAAGAAGGTATTTATAAATGTCGCTTTGATTTTGTAAGATTTTCCTATACGAGGAGGAAATAAAAAATTTGATCGCTATCGTATTATTAATTATTATATAAATAAAAAAAATATATATTATTATTAATTATTAATTATATTATTGTATTACTGCAACTTTGGTTTATACTCATAGAAAAATATACCAGTGTTTACAGTATATTTGTTGATAATTTTCCCTTTTCCTTTTTTGAATATTTTTCATTTTTAAATTTCGCGCCTTTTTTCTTACCTTACAATGATGAATTTTATCAATTTTATAAATTTTATTTATTTTATTTATTTAAATTATTTTCAACCGAAGAAGTAAAGATAAGTACAAAAATATCGATTATTTTTGTAAATTGAAAAATTTTTAAATAGAAATTCCCCTTCCATGATTTGTCCATTCATAAAATAGAATTAGTAGAATGTCGCCATCTTGACTACAGTAGTCAAATGAGCGACTTTCGTTAAGACTTGTTTGGAATTGAAGAAAAAAAATGTATTTTGCCTAAAGTGGGGTAAATAAATAATATAAAAATTCAATTTTTAGTATTTTTTGAACCTTTTTTTAAGAAAATTTAAAAGAAATAAACCGAAAAGAATTTAAATACAAGTTAAAAATTTGATGTCGTTTGTCAAATACGCAGTGGACAGCTGATCGCTCGACACGACGGATTGTCGAGACGTTTATTTGCCTTTTTAAAATAGTAATATAAGATAAGAGAAAAAAAACGCTTTTCAAGTGCCTTAGGAAAAAAAAAGTAAACCCTACAATATTGTGATTTTATTTCCAATAAATGACAATTTAAGAGGAGAAAAAAACTTTTGGAAATTATTTCCAGTAATTTTTCAATTAGTCAATTGAGGTGCCAAGTTTTCGAGACTTTTCCCGACCTTAATGGTTGCCGTTCGGTGAGTTAAAAAATTTTTTTCACTTTAAAATTTTCATTTCTTTACACGTCTCTAGTCCTCTTTTTTTAAGGGGGTGGAAAATTATTTTGAATTAAAAAATTGATCAACGATTTATGAAAAATATTTCCTAGCGATTAAGTGACAAAATTTCAACCAATTCCTTCCAAGTGACACACACGAAAATATCACTTGTGCAATGGAATGCGCCACTTGGGGGATTGCAAATATAATAACACAATTTTTTGGCACTTGCAGTAAACATGTGAAAATTGTTTATTTTATAAATTTGGCAAAAAGATTAATTTTCGTTTGAAATTATAAACTGAGTTCCGGTTATTATTTTTAATTTTTTTTAAGGTTAGATTAAACACCTAAGAGAGATTTATAAATATTTGGGTTTTTATTTGAGAAAATAAATTTATTCCTAAATGTTCACTTTAGTTTTAGTGATACGGTTAATAAAATACAATTAATTAGCAAATGTGGAAAATAAATAAATGTTTAAATATTCGAATCGAGGAGGAAAATTTTTTAAAATATAGTGTTTTTTTCTATAGAAAAAACACTATATTTTAAAAATTTTTACTTATAGGTATATAGGCAATTTTTTTTTCTTTTGTTTAATAATTAAAAAGAGATAAATTACCAGTATCTAATGTTTTGTCTGATGTAAAATGACAGACAGTGATGGAACGTTATTTTCACACGAGTTGGCATGGCATCAAATTTGACAATTAACATTCACGTATACACAATTTTTTTAGTCGCAATGAGAAAAATTCTAAAAATACAAAATTCTTTTTTTAAATTTTTATAATTTATGAAAACTTAAAAAAATTTCCAGTTTTGAAGAAGGGGAATTATTTTTCAATTATTAAATTTTTTTTATATTATAAAAAGTAGATTTGGATATTTGTCTGTTAGCCTTCCATGCCTGCAGGTTGTCATGGTGACATACAAGAGTAAGAGAGTCATTAAATTCAATGTTTAATTCACTAACTCTCTTGCTCTTTATGTTTCCATGACAACCTGCAGCAGTAACCTTACTGCTCCTTTTCTTCACTAATTTAAAAAAGAGGAAAGGGGTTCAAAAGCTAAATTTTTTTTTAAGTTTTAATATTTTACTAAAATTAATATTTAAAATAACTAAATTTTAATTTCAAAATTAATTTTAGAATTTTTAAATTAATTTTAAAATTTTAATTTTCTATTTGTAATATAGAAAAAGTTTTGAAATTTTCCAAAAAGAAAAAAAATTGCATTATTCGCCAGGTGCAAATGGTTTATATATACATGTATAGAAAGTATTTCGCGATGAGGAATTAATTTACTGGTGGTTCAGTTAAAAGATGCGTGGCCGCTTGCCAAATCCGGATTCCTTTTGCTTTTTTCTTTTTTTTTCGACTTCTTGATTCGGTCCAGCTCATGCCAAATCTCTCGAGGATTTGAGTTTCGCTCTTATTATGTTAGCACCTCCAAATTGCTTAACACATCATCACTCTATTTTCATAAAATTCCAGACAATAACACAATTATAACACATTCAATATTCTAGAGTGACAAATTTTTTTTCTATTTATTATTCCTACATTAGAGTAAAAGAAGTAAATGAAGTAAATTCACCTAACCTTCGCCAAAAATCAGTCGTTTTTTAAGATAACGGTCATCTTGGTAGTTCGGACAAACGCCACTAAGGCGCATAGATAAGAAAAAAAAGAGGGGGGATAATAGAAAAAAAATTTTTGATTCTAAATTATTCTAAAGAAGGATTGTGTTTTGGCTATCTGCTTTGCAAAAAGCCATTAAATCAACAAAAAAAAAAATCGTAAAGAAGGGGGTATTAAATATTTTAACAGGCTTCGCAGTCATCTAGTAAAACCTGCTATTTACAACTTTTTTTACGTTATGCTACTATTTGGGTACTTTTTTTAGATTTCTGCCTCTAAAAGCTAATATTTGTTTTTTTTAGAATTTCCATAAATAATCAAAAAATTATTCTCAAAAATTATAATCAAATTCTTTAAAATGATTCAATTATTTTCAAAAAATATTCGAAATTCAATTATTTTCAATATCTAGTATTTTCATAAAATTTCGCAAAAAAATTCAATTATTTAAAAAAATGGATAAAAATCATCCAAAATTCAATAATTTTCATTAATAATAAAATTTCTACAGGAATTCAACTACTAAGCATTTTCAAAAAAATTTCGAAAAAATCAATTATTTAACAAAATTTTTATACAATAATTATTTAATTATTTATTATTTTTATACAATAATAATTCAATTACTTTAACTAATAATAACATTTTTAAAGAAAATTCAATTATTTAAAAAAAATTTTGAATAAATTCTAAGCAAAAATTTAATTATTTTCATAAATAATAAAACTCTTCGAAAAATTTCAATTATTTTCATAAATAAAGTTTTTCACAAGAATTCAATTATTTAAAATAATATTTTGATAATATTTACTATATTTCGAAAAAATTAATTATTTAAAACAATGTTTATAAAATTTTTATAAAGAATTCAATTATTTTCAAAAAAAAAAAAATTTTTCACAGAAATTCAATTGTTTTTAAAACATTTTAATACAATTTTTTACAATAATTCAATTATTTTCATAAATAATAAAATTTTTGTCAATTATTTTTGAAAATTTTAATAAAATTCTTTCCAAGTATTCAATTATTTTTATAAATAACAAAATTCATTGCAGGATTTCAATTATTTTTAATACAATTTTACAGAAATTCTTAAAAAAAATTTTTCGAAAGGAATCAATTATTTTAAATAAAATGTTAATTAATTTTTTTTGAAATAATTCAATTATTCTTTTAGATTTTAAAAAAAATTTTCCCAAGAATTCAATTATTTACATAAATAATTTTTCGAAAGAATTCAATTATGTTGATAAATAACAAAATTATACCCGAAAATTCAAGTATTTTGAGGCATTTTTATAAAATTCTTTGCAATAATTCAAATTTTTTTTATAAATATTAAAATTCTTCTCAAGAATTCAATTATTTTTGAAAATTTTAATAAAATTTTTTGCAACTATTCAATTATTTTCATAAATAATATTCATCGCATGATTTCAATTATTTAACGGAATTCAATTATTTTCAAACAAATTTTATAAAATTAATTTAATAGAATTCTTTGTAAAATTTAGGTAATTATTTTTAAAAACTTTTCGCAATTCAATGATTTTCAATAGTTACTTTTTTCATAAAATTTCCAAACAGAATTCAATTCTTTAAAAAATTTTTTTGTTAAAATCCTCGTAAGAATTCAATTATTTTCGCTTGAATAATAAAAATTCCTCTGGAATTCAATTATTTAAATTAGAATTTGCTTAAAATTGGTCGAAAGAAATGAATTATTTAAAAATTTTTATAAAATTTTTCGCATGAACTAAATTAATTTTATAAATATTTAAATTCTTTCATGAAGAATAAAATTCGTTGCAGGAATTCAATTTATCAGCAGAATAACAAAGAAGTAAATATTTTTGATGAAAATTAGGAAAAAGTCAGGAAAATAAAATATAGAATGGGATTTTTGTCAGTTTTGTGAAGTGTCTAAAACGAGTTTTTTTTTTTGTCGTCAAGTTTAATTTTTCGATAGCTACTTTTTTACTACTTTTTTTTAGTTTGAAAGCTACTTTTTGCTACTTTTTTAAATTTAATTATCAACTTACAATGAAATCGTTAAAAAGGGGTCATACTGACAATTTACATTACTGAAGACTTATTTTAAAAACAGTAGGAACCCAAAAAAGGGGGGTTAGTATCAATTTACATTCCTGAAGATTTTTGTAAATATCAGTCGGTTTCTGAAAGAAGGGGGTACTAACTATTAAATTACTGAAGATTATAATTGGTAAAATAGAAGTTTCTAGAAAGACAGGTTGGGTAAAATTTTGGATTATATGAACGGTTGCACGTGCAATGGAGAATGTTAAAATTGGGGGGAGGTGAACACGTGCGAATGTGAAGGCGCGTGCCGTCTAATTATGTGGCACTTACACATCACACTCGTGCTTTCTATATCCGTGTAGAATGGCACGCAGCACAGGTGTCCAACAAATAAGGGGGTAGGGGAAACCTAAAGATTTTATTTTCTCTCCAAGAATTAGATCACAATCTATATGGACCTTGCGGTAGAGATTAAAATTTCCCTTAGGAATTATTTTCCTATTTTGAACCTAATTTTGAATCCTCTAAGAAATTTTCTCATCGGAAATTTTTGGGTCTCTTTTAGGAGCACAGGGTTAAATGGATTTTTTGTGCAATTTTTGTTAGATAGTTGGGAGGATAATGGAGGCCCGAGATGGGGGAGTGCACCTGCTCTAAAATTGCCATCATGCAGCTGTTCCATGAGCTGAAGCAGCAATTCCCAACACTCTCTGATCACATCGTTGCCGAGTGCATCGCCCAGGTATATTAAGGGTGTCCGTCTCATCGTTGCATCGACGTTCTACTACTACTACTACTACTACCACCCCCTCATAACAACTTCAACGCTCCGATGATAACAATTATTTCCTTCGAACAACGACAATATTTCCTGATTGTACAAAAAGGCCTTCCCGCATGAGAGTGATATACATGTGCGTCTTATTTTTCTAATATATTATCCTATATCCTTGTAGCTTTTAGGAGTACAAACACCTTTTTTTTATCAAGCATGAAAAGCATGAAATATGTTTTGTCCAAGTGAAAGTAAAACTAGTCCAGTTGAAGGGTTTATAATCCTAAAAATTCTTTAGGAAGGACATAATAAGGAGACATGTGCAAGAAGTCTGCGAGAAGCGCAAGAACGTCGTCCTTCGCCGGGAGCGTTCCCACCGCCTGGACCGAGCCAGGAACAGGGACGTGGTATCGCTATGAGTCAAGAACAAGTAGCGATTATTTCACAAGCACGTCCTCATAGGCCTGGTGTTCTTGACATTGGATCGAGTCGTCGTATCGTTAATTGTACCCGAGTTCCGCCTATTAATTTCACACAGTCATTGGATTCGGGGACATATTGCAGTCCGGAGATTGAACCCACTGGTTTTGAACTCAATGTCAATGTGGCCTGCAGTCCAGTGAAAACTACAGGTAAGACTATGTACAATCTAAATATATAGAGTTGTTCTGATGGAATTTTTTTTCGTTTAAAAAATCATAATTAGTGACAAACCACATTAGTCATAGACGTTTCGACAATACACCCTTTTCCTCACCTTCCTTAAAGCTACCATTCCATCCTGAACATCCTTACTGATGTTCTTCTGCTTTTTGCAAGCACGCCACATGCCTTCCAGTATTTTAGGGATCAAGTCGACTTGCTCAACAACATTCTTCTCGAAGCTGCTAAGTTCCCTATCCGCAGAATTTTTGTTTTGGCCATCTCAATGATAAACTAGCTTTAATCATTGATTAACTTTTAATTGAGGTTGGTGTAATGAGCCCTAAATATCTAAGTTCTAATTACTTTTCGGTTTAGGTTTCGGATTGCCGAGCGCGCCTCACAGGAGCGAGATCGTCTTGGAGCCTCGTCCACACTACACGGAGCCGTTCATGAACCTGAGTCTTCCGCTAACGACTGAACAGAGTCGTAGTTTCACGTCCGTTAGTCTGACCCTACGACCGCCAAATTCGGAAGCACAGTCACCAATTGGATCGAGTTTGACTTATTCGACATCGTCGTCAAATCCACGGGGTTTCCAGAGTCGAGTGCAAATCAGCATTGGACCGGGAAACATCGGCACAGTCACTTCGGCGCGTATCCGACCTCCAATGGGTCCCACAAGACCCAGCAGCCTTCTACCCACGGATCAGTACAATTTACGTCGACCTTCTGGTCTTCCATTGGGACCACCGAGTCAATTGTCCCGGCCGACGATGACAATGAGCGCGCCAACAACACCCTCAATGGCACCATCCTCCTCCCTTCATGCACACTCATCGGCGACGAGTTTACCCACAACTCCCCTGGGGGCGCAAGGATCTCTTGTGCCCTCATCGGAAGACCTGACGAAAATCGATCAAGCCTTATCGCTAATGACTGAGAATCAACGGCAATTGATCGCCGAGCAATTGGAGAGGAAGGACCGACTTGCCCGTGAGGTCGAGGCTGAGAAATTGAGACTCGAGTCCATGAAGATGGAAATCGAGTTACTCTTGCGACCGTTTGACGCTAACATGTCACCCGAGGTATAATTTTTAGAGTTAATAAGAAAATTCTGAATTTTTTTCATTTTGTTTGCCTCATAAATTATGAAATTACCACGAATTCTAAAAAAAACCTTAAATTTTTTCTATTTCTGACAATAATTTCTTTTAAATGACTTCATTCTATTGAAGAACTGACATAAACTTATTGCTTATAAATCATTTAATAAAGTATTTTTTTTTAAATTTTAATTTCAATTTTGTTGAAATTAGTTTCAATTTTAAAAAATTTAACTCAATTCTTTGAAAGAATTCAACTGCTTATCTTAATGAATATCAAAATTCTTTCCATGAATTCAATTATTTTCAAAAATTAAAATAAAATTCTTGTCAAGATTTCAATTATTTTTAAAAATAACAAAATTCTTCGCCAAATTTCAATTATATTCAGGAATTTTTATAAAATTCATTGTCAAATTCAATTATTTTCATAAATAACAATATTCATCACAAGAATTCAATTATTTTCAAAAGTAATAAAATTCTTTGGAGAAATTCAATTATTTTCAAAAAATCTAAAAAAAAAAATGGTGAACAATTCAATTATTTTTATAAATATTTAGCAAAATTCTTCACCGAAATTCAATTATTTTCAGAAATTGTAATCAAATTCTTGTCAAAATTTCAATTATTATCATAAATAATAGAATTCATCACAAGAATTCAATTATTTACAAAAATTTTAATAAAATTCATGACAAAATTTCAATTATTTTTAAAAATTTTAAGAAAATGGCAAAAATTCAATTATTTTCAAAAAAATTTCTTAATTCAATGGTTTTCTATGTTCTACTATTTTAATAAAATTTCCCAAAAGAATTCAATTATTAAACAAAAATTTTGATAATATTCTACACGAACATTAAATTATTTTCATAAACAATACAAATTTCCCAGGAATTCAATTATTAATAATAGAATTTGCATAAATTTTTTCGAATAAATCAAATGTTTTTAAACTTGGCATTCAATTAACTTACAAATAATTATGTTCAAAAATCTTTTTTAATTCTTGTCAAAAAATAATATTCAAAATTCAAAAAATAATAAAAATTTGTCAAAATATCAATTATCTTTAAAAATAATGAAATTCTTTTCCAAAATATCAATTATCTTCAAAAATAATAAAATTCTTTTCCAAAATTCAATTATTTTTAAAAATTTTAATAAAATTGCCGAAAGAATTCAATTATTTAGAAAAATAGAGATAAATTTCTACGCAAATATTTACCTATTAATTATTTTCATAAATAATAAAAATTAACACAAATTCAATTATTTTGAAAAGTAATAAAATTTTTCACAGGGATTCAATTATTTTGAAAAATAATCAAATTCTTTGTAGGAATTTAATTATTTTTATAAATAATAAAACTCATCGCAGAATTTTAATTATTTTTAATAAAATTTTAATCGAATTCCTCGAAAAATGGAATTATTCTTAAACATTTTATTAAGATTTGTCGTAACAATTCAAATATTTAAAAATTTGTTAATAAAATCTTTTATGAGAATTTAATTTTGAGAAACATTCAATTATTCAATATATTATTTATTTTTTTATTTAAATAATTGAATTCTCGTAGAATTTTCTAATAAAAATTTATTTAAAAACGAATTTCAATTAAAATTTGAGATAATAATTGAATAAATTAAATGCATTACAGCCTGAATTTTTTGAAATAATTGAATTTTAAAAAGGTTTCAAATTAAAATTTTTGAAAATTTGAATTTTTCATAATTTTAATTAACAATTCTGAAGAATTAATTGTTTTGAAAAAGTTTACTTGAATTTTTTTTTTTGAAATTATTTCAAGTTTTTATTTTCTAAATAGTTAATTGCAGAATTTTCAAATAATTGAAATTTTGTAAAATTAAATTGTAAACGAATGGATTTGAAAATTCTCAACAAACTTTTGCAGGAATTATTAGAAATGATTGATAATTTATTTTTTATTGAAGAATTTTAATAAAATTTTTGAAAACAATTACATTTTTTGAAGAACTTTATTATATTTTATTTTAAAAATTTGTGAAATGAAATTGAATTCTTGTAAAAAATTTTTGAAGTTAATTACATTTTTCGAGGAATTCATTAAAAATTATAATTAAAAATAATTGAAATCCTATGAAAAACTTTATAATTTATGAAAATAATTGATTTCGTACACAACGGATTTTATTACATTTTTTTTTAAATAATTGAATTTATGTGAAAAGTTTTATTATACTTTATTATATTTTTTATTATATACTTTTAAAAATAATTGAATTCTTGCGAAAAACTTTATTAAAATTTTGTGTAAATAATTTGATTTTTTCTGAAAAATTTTATGGAAATTTAAATTATTATAATTATAAAACATAGGTATCTTCATGTTTTACAATAATAATAATTTTCTTATAAGTTATTGAATTTCAAAAATGGTTGAATTTAATATTTTTGAAAATCTTAATTGCTATGAAAAAATAATAGATAATGATTAAATAAAATATTTATTTAAATAAGAATTGATGTTTTCGAATAATTTTATATTTTTTTGAGTAACATTTTTTGAGTATAATTATTATTTTTAGAGTGAATTAGAATATTCTTTAATGTCAGTGAGAAATAGTCAAAATTTTGTCTGGAAATCAGGGAAAAACAAAATTAATTTTTTGCGGTAACCCTGAGCTACCACCTAAGATAATTTACTTAGATCCAATTTCTTTTAGGCCTACAAGCAGAAATTACAGAGGGAAATATTCCAACTACAAGTCGAGTGTAACAAAATGGCGAACGAAATTGATCAGAATTCGGAGCCAGGCGGTGAGGAAGAAACTTTTTAATTGAAGAAATTTGAGAAAAAAAATAAATTTTTCGCTATAATAATAATTATTTTAATTTTCAGTTGCAGTTAGAGATGCGAATGAAGAATTTTATCGTGGCATTTACACGGGGCAACCTTTCGGCCCAAGAACGGCGTTAATACCACCGCCATTGCCTGCGGAGCCACCAGCGTGGCAAGTGCCAATTGACAGAGGCAATCCAGAAGATAGGGATGGACCCTCCTGGGTCTGTCGAATGTGCACATTCAAAAATCATCCACTAATGAAGAGATGCGAGCAATGCGATCTATTGCGAATAATGCCATCACTATCGTCAGGTAGGAATTTCGCGAAATTCCCGCTCGAATCTCAACCACCAAATAATTGCTCGACGAGTGGATTTCTCGGACCGAGACCGACCTCCGAGTCCAAAGACACTTCTCGCAAATAATAATTATTACAATCAATGGGAAAATGAAAAAAAAAATTAAGGAAAGATAATTATTTACCTCGAAAGGGAAAAAAAAATTATTTTTCGAATTAAGAAGAAAATATTAGAAAGAGATAAAATTATTTCCCTAAATGACGAAGCAAAAATTTTGTATATATATTTACCGACATCGGAGGTTGTGAAACTCGTGTAATTTTTTTTTGTGTGTGTTTTGTATTTAATCGCATGCAATTTTAGAATGAATTGGACAAAAATAATTTATTAATAGTACAGTCTAGATTTTTGATTTTTTAAATTTAAAATTTTGAACATTAACATTTTATTTAAAATAATTTTTATCCTTCCGTGTAATATATATTTTCGATTCAAGGAGGAAAGAATTCTTTCTTCCTTGAATCGAAAATATAAATTATTTAATTAATAATTATTTATTTAATTAATAATTGTTTAATTATTTAATTAATTAATTATTCAATTAATAATTTATATTATTAAGAAAATTAGAAAAAAAGTGTTGTTGTAAATTATTGTTAATATAAAAATTCAAAAATACGCTCCTAGACTAAATTTTTTCCGTCCTAATAGTTTGTCCAATTCTTTCTTCAGTTGATAAATAATGACGCCTTTGAAATCTTAGTGAGAATTATTATCTAACGGCATGAAGTGATTTGTAATAATATTTGTTACACAATTGACCAAAATGACGTTAACTAATATAGCGATTAATACCAAATAATCAAATTGAATAAGTGCCTGTATGTATTTTTCAAAATGAAATTGTAAATGTTATACTCAACTTTTTTTAGAGTAACTGATATATTTAATTTATTAAATATATAAAATATGCAGATTTATTAATAAATTGAAAATCGCAATAATTAGATATTTACAGTATATGAAGTGGAATATTCTTTTATTATATCCCAGATATATAAAAATTAATCGTGTATAATTTTTAAATTAGTAAAAATTCATTTTAGGGAATATTTAACTATTTAAATAATTAATAAAAATTTTAATTATCAGTTAATTATTCATATTGTTTTATACTTTATTATATTATTATAATAAATTTTATTTATTTTATTTATTATAATAATATTTAAAAAGAATCGGACAATCCAAAAACTAGTCCAACTATATATTTTTGTATTTTTAAAATAAAAAAATCCTCAACTTTTTCAATTTTTTTTTTTTAAAGCGAAAGATAACTGTAAATCTTTCAATAATTATGTTTGAATCATTTTCTAAGAAAATTCAATTTTTCAAATACATTTATAATAAAAATCTTTTTTTATTGCAAATTTACAAAAATAATTGAATTTTATCAAAAATGTTAATGAAAACTCTCTAAATTGTAAATTTAAAAATGAAAATTAATTAAAAATAACTTCTAATTTTTTAAAATTCAATATTTTCAGTATTTTCAATTTCATATTTCCGAAAATTCAAATATGTACAAAAAATAATAACTTTTTAGAATTATTTTTTTTAAAACATTTTGATTAAAAAAATCGTGTTTAAAATTTTTAATTATAATTCATCAAAAAAATTCGAGAAATAAATTTCTAATATTTTATAAATAATAAAATTCTTAACTGGAATTCAATTATTTTAAATACAGCTTTAATTTAATTCCATTATTTTCAAAAATAATTAAATTGTCGATGTACTGACAATCATTGAATACTTGTAAAGTATAATTATAAAAAAAAATTTGAAAATAATTGAATTCATTTGAAGAATTTTATCAACACATTTTTCAAAAATTGAATTCTTTCAAGAAAATTTAATTAAAATTGTATTGAAAATAATTTAATTCTTGGCAAGATTTTTATTAAAATTCCTTAAAATAATTGAATTGTTTTGAAGAATTTATTTCAATTTTTTTTTAAAATAATGGAGTCTTTTTCAATAATTTTTACTGAAAATTTTGAAAGTAATTGAATTTTTTGAAGACTTTCTTTTAAGTTTTTAAAATAATCGTGTTTATTATTGATTGTAATTAATAATGTTCCAATTAAATTAAATTAAAATTATTCATAGTTTTCTATGAATTTTCTTTTTCAAAGAAAATTAAATTCTTTTAAACAATTTTATTAGAGTTTTTGTAAATAATTATATTTTTTTAAAAGAATTTCATTAAATTTTCTAAAAAATAATGTAATTTTTATAAAAAAATTTAAATTGCAAATTTTGAAAATAATTGAAATTTAGAAAGAAGTTTATTGAAAACTTTAGAGTACAATTGAGTGAATTAGAAAAATGTTATTAAAATTTTTAAAAATAATTGAACCTATAGTAGAGAAATTTTATCAAAATTATTATATTGAATATAATTTAATTTTTTCCTAGAAATTTTAAAAAAATTGTATTGAAAATAATTGAATTTCTCAGAAGAATTTTACTATTTACAAAAAAAAATTGAATTCCTTTAAAGAATTTTATTATTTATGGAAATATTTTAATTCTTGCGAAGAATTTTCTTATTTATTATTCAATTCCTAAAAAATTATTGAATTGTTTCGAAGTTTTTGGTTTGAATTTTTGAAAATAATTGAATTTTTTGAAGGAATTTTATTAAAAATTTTGAAAATAATGGAGTTTTTAAAAGAATTTCATTAAAATTGTCGACAGTAATTGAATTTATATTAAAATTCTTGAAAATAATTGAATTTAATTATTATTTTTAAAAATAATTTTATTCTTTCGAGAAATTTTGTTAAAATTGTATTGAAAATAATTGAATTGCTCTAAAAAATTATGAGAATAATGAAATTCTTGCAAAAAATTTTATTAAAATTTTTGAATAATAATAAACAAGAATAGTTCATATTATGTACTTAATAAGTTAATTCTTTTGAAATTTTGAATTTGTCATCATTAAAAAATTGATATTTATTCTTAAAAACATAAAATTTTTTAATTTACAAAATAATAATAAATGGAATATCAAGATTTACATTACTGAAGATTTATTTAAAAAATTACTTATTGAAAAATTAGAAAAGAAAAAGAAAACTTGATTTAAAAGTTTAGTAATGTTTTCGTAAAATTAAAATTCATTTAAAAAAAGAAAGAGAATATTAATTAAAATACTGTTTTAAAATGTTTTGCTTTGATTTAATTTTATTGTTTTATAGTTTGTGTAAAATCATAATTGAATTTTGGATTTTTTTAAACTTAAATAATTAATTTTTGTTAATTTTAATTAATTAATTAATTTAATTAACTTCATTTTTTTAAATTTTTCCCCAGTTCCCATCTTTCATCCATCTTTCACCCTGACCATTCTCATGGTTCAATTCGTCGTTGCTTTGCTTCAGAGAATTAATTCGTTACTTATTCTCTTAAATTACTGAAGATTTTTTCTTTTACAAGAAACCGCTTTTTTGTAGCACCAAAAAGAAAACCATCTCTCATTTCTTAAAAATATTTCCCTCTTTCTTTCTTTTGCAGGCGAAACACAGGATATTCACATAAGAGTGACGCATCATCACAACTTTTCACCTCGTAAGTAATCTGCAAAAAAAAAAACAGAAAAAAAATCTCTTCGCCGAATGTTTAATTAAAAAAACAATTTCTCTTATTTCAGGAACCGTTCACAGTTGGGTCGTTTGACGTCAACTTAATTAGCGAAATATCTGAGAAAACTGTAAATAATTAATTTAATTAATTAAAAAAAAAGAACGAAACAATTTATTCCCATAAAAATGAGAAAAAAAACCTACATTTTTAAATTAAGATGACTGACAGATTGTGAATATTGTAATTATTTAATTTTTCTATTGACCTTAGAGTACATAATTTTTTTTTTTTTTGCTCTTACTGAAAAAATTAAAATTTTTTTCTACATATTTTAAAAAGAAGAAAATGTATGTTACAATTTTTTTCGAAAACACGAAAATGGAATTTATCATTCTTTTTGAAATTTGTTTTTTTAATAGCTAAAAAAATAATTGTATTTATATAATTTAGAATCCAAGAAAAAAGTTGAAATAAATCTTTTTTTTTGTTTGTTACCTGAAAATTATATATTTAAATAAATTTTTTCCTCTTCTTAAAAAAAAAATTATATTGCCGTTCCTCGCTCCAAATTGAGTTTTGTCTCTCTCGTGTGCTCGCCATAGAAACGTTCCAATTTTTGATTGAATTTTGCATTTCTCTCGTTAATATAATCAATATCGGCGTCATCATTATGAGTTCGCCTTCTACTGTATTTATTTCTTCTAGCGATTCTGCAAACAAAGAAAAGATTTTTTTTTTAATTAAATGTTATTTAATAAATAATAAATAATAAATAATAAACAATAGTTAAAGTATTAAAATATAGAGAAAATATTTAAAATATCGAACGTACTGTTTTTCCAAATCGTCCACCATTTTATCAACAGCGTCTTTTTTATCCTCATGTAAACCATGTAAAATTGTATTTCGATCGCCGTAAAATGCGGCTCCAAGTTTTTCCTTTGCATCCTCGTAAGACTCCATATTTGGCTTGATTCCCTTAATATTTCGATTGTATTGTCGAAATGTTGCTTGCTCATAATCCGAGAAACCTGGATCGGGATTTTTTTTCTTCTGCTTACGTAAAAGGCGTTCGGCCTCCAAAGCTTCTGTGTTTAAAAGTTTCACTCTGTCGTAATCCAAACCCTAAAAAATTTTCAAATTATCAATTTTTAAATTTTCCTTTGGTTTATATGTAAATTAATATTTATATAAAATTTATTGTTTTTGGAAAAAAAAATTTTACCTTCTCTTCAGCATCATTTCGCGCTGCTTCATCTTGCAAAATCCAGTCTGCTTGACGTTTACGTGATTCCCAATTTTTTGGCAAATTATTCCTCTTGTCTTCCTCAACAACTGCTTTGTGATTTTGTGTTCTTGCTTCATTCTAAACGAGAATTTTCAAAATATGTATTCAATTATTTTCAATAAATAATAGTATTTATCATAAGAATTCAATTATTTTCAAAATTTTTTAATAAAATTCTTGTCAAAATTTCAATTTTTTAAAAATTTTAATAAAATTCTTGTAACAATTTCAATTATTATATCAAAACTTTTCATAATTCAATGATTTTTAATATTCTACTGTTTTAATAACATTTACCAAAAGAATTTAATTATTAAACAAAAATTTTGATAATATTCGACACGAACATTCAATTATTTTCCAAAAAAAAAAAAATTTCACAGAAATTCAATTATTAAAAATAGAATTTGCATAAATTTTTTCGAAAAAATTAAATGTTTTAAAATTTGGCATTCAATTCTTTGCAATAATTCAATTATTTTCATAAATTTTAAAATTCCTTTTAGGGATTTCTAGTAGAATTTTATAGTTAAAAATACTAAAAAAAATTGAATTTTGGAAAATTGACAAATGATTGCAAAAATTAAATTATTTTCTAAAGTAATAAAATTCTCCATAGGACTTTAATTATGTTCAAAAATTTTTTTCAATTCTTGTCAAAATGTCAATTATCTTTAGAAATAATAAAATTCTTTTCCAAAATTCAGTTATTTTTAAAAATATTAATAAAATTCTTGTCAAAATTTCAATTTTTTTCAGAAGTTTTAATAACATTCTTTGCAAAATTTCAATTATTTTAAAAAATTTTCCTTAATTCAATGAATTTTAATATCTATACTGATTTAATAAACTTTTTCAAAAGAATTCAATTATTTAAAAAAAAATGTTGATAAAATTTTAAGCAAACATTTAATTATTTCCATAAATAATAATAATTTCACAGGAATTCAATTGTTTAATTTTTTTATAAATTTCTTCGCAAGAATTCAATTATTTTCAAAATTAATAAAAATTTCCGTATAAATTCAATTATTTTCAAAATTAATAAAAATTTCCGTATAAATTCAATTATTTTCAAAATTAATAAAATTCTTCGGAGAAATTCAATTATTTTCAAAAAATCTAAAAAAAAATGTCGTCAACATTCCAATTATATTTATAAATAGCAAAATTCTTCGACAAATTTCAATTATTTTCAGGAATTTTAATAAAATTCATTGTATAATTCAAATATTTTCATAAATAATTGTATTCATCATAAGAATTCAATTATTTAAAAAGAATTTAATAAAATTCAATTATTTAAAAAAAAATTTAATAAAATTTCCCCAAAGAATTCAATTATTTGAAAACAATTTTGACAAAATTCTACTCGAATATTCAAATATTTTCTAAAATAATGAAAATTTTACAGGAATTCAATTATTAAATATTGAATTTGCATAAATTTTTTCGAAAAAATTAATTGTTTTGAAACTTTTTTATAAAAATTCTTCGCAATATTTCAATTATTTTCATAAATAATAAAACTCATTGCAGAATTTCAATTATTTTTAATATAATTTTAATCAAATTGCTCGAAAAATGTGAATTATTCTTAAAAATTTTATTAAAATTCCTTGAAGGAATGCAATTATTTAAAAATTTGTTGATAAAATTACGTATAGGAATTCAATTTTACTTCAATTATTCAATAAATTATCTATGTTTGTATTTAAATAATTGAATTCTCGTAGAATTTTCTAATAAAAATTGATTGAAAAATCAAGTTTAGTTAAAGTTTTGGAGATAATAATTGAATTTTGGAGCAGTTACTAATAATTGCAATTTTTAGTAATAATTGAATTTCGTAAAGGTTTCAAATTAAAATCTTCGAAAATTACATTTTAAATTAGAAACGAGTTAATTTTTAATGTATTTATATAAAAAGAATAACTTTCTGAAAAATTTTGAGGTTAGGAATTTCTAACCCGTTTTAAATGAAGTTCTTTTAATTTTTTCATTCGCTCCGCTCGTCGTTCCTCGAGTGTTTTTCCACCACTAGTCGTTGGTTCACTCATTTTTCCTTTTTTTAAAAATATTTTTTCAACTAACAATGGACAAAAATAACGATAATTAGTTTATAAAAATTGTAAACGTAAGTTGAGGGTAAAACGTCAAAACAAACGAAACGAGTGACGCAGAGTGACAAGTTCTTGGAAAAAGTGATTCACTGTCGGTAAAGTAGATTTTCTTCTACAAACTTAAGTATTTACTCGATAGATGGATAAGATAAGAATGATAAAATGACGTCACAATGTGACTCAGTTTTTCGTATTACTAACTTCTTCTGTCAAACAGAATCATTATCTCTCTGTAGAATTTAGTAAAAATTCTGATAATTAGCTAGTATTTCAAGTTTATATAATTTTCTGAATTCATAATTTTTGTCCCTTTTTGTTTTCTAAAGTAAAGTTTTCAAAACAAAAAAAAATTCAAATCAAAAACATTAAAAATGTTCGCGAGTGGTCCGAATTATACGAAACTAAAGACAAATTTAAGGTTAGCGATTAATAGATTAAAATTACTTGAAAAGAAAAAATCAGAATTAGCACAAAAGGCGAGAAAAGAAATTGCCGATTATATTGCAGCGGGAAAAGTTGAGAGAGCAAGAATTCGAGTTGAACATATTATTCGCGAAGATTATGTCGTTGAGGCCTTTGAATTAATGGAAATGTACTGCGATTTATTACTTGCAAGATTTGGATTAATTCAACAAATGAAGTAAGTTTCGTCATTGTTTGAAAATTATATACCTGTATTTTATTTCTATTTTACATAATATGCGCATTTTCCTAATACTAATTTTCATTGTTTTTTGAGTTCTTTTTACAGGATTTGGAAAAATTTCGGATATTCGGAGAGAAAAAGTTTAAAAAGTTTTATGAAAAATTATAATTAAAAAAGTAAAAAGTGTTTTGATACTTCAATTGGGTATACTTTTCACTATACTACTGAAGATTTGTTACTAAAAATAAAAAAATGGAATTTATTTAGGTAACTGGGGTTCTAAAAAGATAAGGATATTATATTACTATAAATTCATAGTGAAAATATTTTGGGGACAAAATTAAATTTCTGACATAATAACATCATAAGACTTGTAATTTCTTGACCAAAGGCCACAACAAGATTCCAACTATTATATTACTGGAGATTATTCAACTTTCAATAAACCTCTCAACAGAGGGTACTGACTATTATGCTACTGAAGATTATTCAACTTTCAATAAACCTCTAAAAACGGGGGGTACTGACTATTATACTACTGAAGATTATTTAATAAGTTACCACCTCAAAAGGGAGTACTGACTATTATACTACTGAAGATTATTTAATAAGTTACCACCTCAGAAGGGGGTACTGACTATTATACTATTGAAGAATATTTAATAAGTTACCACCTTAAAGGGGGTACTGACTATTATACTACTGAAGATTATTAAAAAACCTCGAAACAGGGGGTACTGACTATTATACTACTGAAAATTAATCAATTAATGAACTTAAAATAAAAGTCTAAAACGGGGGTACTAACTATTATATTACTGAAAATTATTAAACTTTAAATATACCTCTAAAGGGGGGGGGGGGTACTGACTATTATATTACTGAAGATTATTCAACTTTCAATGAAATCGTTAAAAAGGGGTCAAATACAATTTACATTTCTGAAGACTTATTTTAAAAACAGTAGGATCCTAAAAAAGGGGAGGGGGATTATTGTCAATTTACATTAATGAAGATTTATTTAAATAACAATGGTATCTTAAAGAAAAGGGGTATTAACTATTATATTACTGAAGATTATTCAACTAAAAATTAAATCGTTAAAAAGGGGTTACTGACAATTTACATTACTGAAGATTTATTTAAATAACAATGGTATCCTAAAGAGGGGGGTATTACACAAAGTGCGTAATTTGCTTTTGTATTTCATGAAATGTCCAAAAATACTGGACAAAATGACGACATATTAACTATTATATAACAGAAGATTATGCAACTACCAATTAAATCGTTAAAAATGGGTTTATGACAATTTACAATACTGAAGATTTATTTGAATAACAATGGCATTCTGCAAAAAAGGGTTTTGACTGTTATATTAGTCCAGGCTTCGCATTCATCTACTAAATCCTACTATTTATTACTTTTTATTATTTCTGTTTTTTTTAAACTTTCCACTACTTTAAATTCGCTAATACTAGAAATAAAGAAACAATTCTAAAAAATTATAATCAAATTCTTTAAAATGATTCAATTATTTTCAAAAATATTCGAATAAAATTTTGCAAAAGAATTCAATTATTAAAAAAAAATTGATAAAATTCATCCAAAATTCAATTCTTTTCATAAATAATAAAATTTCCACAAGAATTCAATTAATTTAGAGCATTTTCAAAAAAAATTTCGAGAAAATCAATTATTTAACAAAATGTTTATACAATTCTTCACAATAATTCAATTACTTTCACTAATAATAATATTTTCCATGGAAATTAAATTTTTAAAAAAATTTTTTTGATAAAATTCGAAACAAAAATTCAATTATTTTCATTTTCATAAATAATAAAATTCGTTGAAGAATTTCAATTATTTTTAATACTATTTTAAATTAATTGCTCAAAAAATTTAATTATTTTCACAAATAAAGTTTTCAACAAGAATTCAATTATTTAAAATAAAATTTTCATAAACTTTTTGTAAAAAATTCAATTATTTTCAAAAAAGACAAAAATTTTCACAGAAATTCAATTTCTTTTTAAACATTTTAATAGAATTTTTCGCAATAATTCAATTATTCCATAAATAATAAAATTCTTTTCAGAAATTTAATTATTTTTAAAAATTTTAATAAAATTCTTCGCAAATACTCAATTATTTTCATAAATAATAAAATTCATGGCAGGATTTCAATTATTTTCATTAATAATAAATCTAATTGTTGGATTTCGATTATTTTTAATACAGTTTTACAGGAGTTGCTCAAAAATTCAATTATTCTTAAAAATTTAATTTCAACTCCACGAAACATCAATTATTTAAAATAATGTTTTTTTTAAATTCTTTGAAAGAATTCAATTATTTATAAAAATATTACAATTTTTCCCAAGAATTCAATTATTTCCAAATATTTTCAAAAAATTCAATTATTTTCGAGAAATCTAAAAAAAATGTCGTCAACATTTCAATTACCTTCATAAATAAATAGCAAAATTCTTCGAAAAATTCAATTATTGTGAGGAATTTTAATAAAATTCATTACAAAATTTAATTATTTTCAAAAATTTTAATAAAATTCATGGCAAGATTTCAATTATTTTCAAAAACTTTTTCTTTAACTCAATGATTTTCAATATTCTACTATTTTAATAAAATTTCCCAAAAGAATTCAATTATTAAACAAAAATTTTTATAAAATTCTACACGAACATTCAAGTAATTTCCAAAAAAATAGAAATTTCACAGAAATTCAATTATTTTATTCAAATTAAATTATTCTTTTAGATTTAAATATAATTCTTCCCAATAATTCAATTATTTACTTACATAAATAATTCTTCGAAAGAATTCAATTATGTCGATAATTAAAAAAATTATTCCTGAAAATTGAATTATTTTGAGGCATTTTAATAAAATTCTTTGCAAAATTCAATTATTTTCATAAATAACAATATTCATCACAAGAATTCAATTATTTTGAAAAGTAATAAATTTCTTCTTGGAAATTCAATTATTTTAAAAGATTCTAGTAAAATCGTTCGCAAGATTATTTAATTTAGTAACAAATTTCTAAAGTAGTTTCTGAAAGACCTCTCCGAAATTTTTCTTTTCAAAATTAAAAATATTTAAGCTACCTAACATATTAACTTCCTGCTTAATGTGACCAATTATCGTCTAAAATCGTCTATTTTTAATGTTTTGATAATGATCATCAAAATTACATTTAAGCGGATGTCAAAGTCGATGCGATGTTTCTATTTCAACTCAAATGTCATGTTATTCACCGAATAACATGACATTAGAACGCCAGAGTTGAGAATAATTCATAGGGTTGATGTACAATATCAAAATATTAAAAGAAGAAATTTGTCGAAATTCATAAACAATCGATAAAATGACTTATTTTTATTTATATATAGAAATTTAGACGATGGTTTAGCAGAGGCAATATCGACAATAATATGGGCAGCGCCACGAATACAGACGGATATTCAAGAAATGAAAGTGATTTCCGATATTTTAACGACAAAATACGGTAGACAATATGCTGATGCATGTCGTGAGGAAGTGATAAAAACAATTTCGGAAAAATTGAAACACAAATTAAATGTACAATCGCCACCAAAATTGCTTGTGGAAAAGTATTTGATTGAGATTGCGAATAATTACGATGTCGTTTATGAGCCCGATCCACAAGTAATGGCCGAGGGTGAAGATGCACTTTTAATTGACATTGGTGCAAGTGGCGGGCAAAATAATTTGGATGTTGCCAGTGGTGGTGGTGGGGGTTTGCCTCAACCCGTCGGTTTCATTGGCTTTCCACAGTTGCCACTTCTTCCCGGTGTTAATCCAACTGTAATTATTATGTTTCGTTAACAAATTTATTATTATTTTATTTTTTATTTAATTATTTATTTAATTTATTATTTTTTTAAACAATTTTAAAAAAAATTGTTTAAAATTTTTAATTTTCCAACTGTAAATATTATGTTTGTTAACAAATTTATTATTATTTTATTTTTTATTTAGTTATTTATTTTATTTATTTTTAAAAAAAAATTAAACAAAAATTTAAACAAAAATTTAAAAAAAAATAAAAAATTATTTATTTAATATGTATTTGATAAAAAATTTGTACTGGTTTACAAATTTCTAAGTATGTAAATATTTTTTTACATATGAAGTATTTAAATTTTAAGGAGATAGAAATTTTTGTATTTAAAAATAAATATTAAATTTTTTAGTCGCCTACTGATGCTCCAATTGGTTTTTATCCCCCGGGGCCATCGAATTGTAGTGAAAAGGATAAAAATTCTCCATTCAGTCCAACTTCCATGTCTTACAATATTCCATTGGACAACGATAATGCAAACAGAGACGTACGTCTTTTTTTGTTTTTTTATTTATTTATTTTTGTAACTTTTTAAAAGAGTTAATAAAATAATTTTTAGGACGAAGACTTACCTCCACCGTACGGATCGTTTCCTCCAGATTTGAACAAACAAGTGAGTTATTAAAAAAAAAAAAAAAAAAAAAAATTAATAGGAAATAAATTTGTTATTTATTTATTATGTAATAAAAATGAAATGTAATAGTAGAAATTTAATAGTTTAATTTAACTTTTTATTAAGCTTTCGACTATTAAATTTAATATTAATCGTAAATTATAATAACATAAAATTATTAATGAACTAGCAAATGAAACGCGCGCCAGCGCACAGAACGCGGTATTCCATTTCTTATTATTTTTTAAATTAAAACATTTTAGATTTTCAAGAATAAACATCAATTTTTGAATGATTACAGATTTAAAATTTAAGGAATTCATTTATTATATATTTTTGTTTATTATTATTCAAAAATTTTAATAAAATTTTTCAAAAGAATTTCATTTTTCTTATATAAATAATAAATTCTTTTCGTAAATTTCAATTATTTTCAAAATTTTCAATGAAAATAACATTTAGAAAATTACATTATTTTTACGAAATTTATTAAAATTCTTAAAAAAAAAATGTAATTATTTCGACAAAAAAAACAACATTTTTTAAAAGAATTTAATTTTCTATGAATAATTATAATATAATTTAATAGGAAAATTATAAATTACAATTAATAATAAACACGATTATTTTAAAAACTTAATAGAAATTCTTCATAAAATTCAATTAATTTCAAAATTTTCAGTAAAAATTATTTAAAAAAACTCCATTATTTTCAAAAAAATTGAAATAAATTCTTCAAATTAATTCAATTAATTTTAAAGAATTTTAATAAAAATCTTGACAAGAATTAAATTATTTTCAATACAATTTTAAAATTTACATTTTCTCGAAAAAATTCAATTATTGAAATAAAATGTTGATAAAATTCTTGAAATGAATTCAATTATTTAAAATTTTTTTTATAAATACTTTACAAGAATTTAATAATTTTCAGTAAATCGACTATTTAATTATTTCTGAAAATAATTGAAGATTCTTGAATAGATTTTTATTAAAACTTTATTTAAATAATTGAAGCCTTGCGTGTAAATTTATTATTTCAACAAAGAATTGAAATTATTGCAAAATTTAAAAAAAATAATTGAATTTTTGAGAAGAATTTTATTAAAATTGTATTTAAAAAAAATTGCATTCCTGTGAAAAATTTACTATATTTATTGATATTATTGAATTCTTTCGAAGAATTTAAAAGAAATGTTCAAAAATAATTGAATTTTCCCTGGAATTTAATTAAAATTGTATTTAAAATAATTGAATTTTCCCTGGAATTCAATTAAAATTGTATTTAAAATAATTGAATTCCAGCGAAAATTTAATTATTTTTAAAAATAATTAAATTCTTGAATTGGATTTTATTAAAAGTTTTTTAAATAATTGAACTTTTGGGAAAAATTCAATTATTTTTTTGAAATAATTGAATTTTCTCGGATTATTTTTACAAGATTTTGAAAAATAATTGAAATTTTCCGAAGATTTTATTTAAAAATGGAATTGAAAATAAGTTGCCTGATAAAAATTTTATTATTTAAATAAAAATGATTGAATTTTTGAAGAAAATTTTTATTATTTATAAACTGACTAAAGAATTTTATTAAAATTATTTTCAAATTTTTCAATTAATATTAGGCTTTAAAAAATTACATTATTTTTACGAAATTCCCTGAAAAGAATTTTATTATTTAAATAAAAATAATTGAATTTTTTACGAAGATTTTTATTATTTATAAAATGACTAATGAATTTTATTAAAATTATTGAAAATAATTGAATTCTTCATAAAATTCAATTATTTTCAAATTTATCGATATAATTAATACTTTACAAGAATTCAATGATTTTCAGTACATTAATTTAATAATTTTAAATATTATAAATATTATTAATATAGATTAGTAAATATTTGTTTTTTTTAATTTTGTCTTTTTTTCAATAGTCGGATCAGAAGCCAAAACCGCAGCCACGATCAAAAATGCCAACGGGCAATTTCAATCTTCCTGACTTGCCACCAGTTCCATCAGGCAATGACACACCAACCGGAACTGAGAACAATGAGGACATAGACTTTGACGATTTAATGAAGCGTTTTGAAGACTTGAAAAAAAAGAAGTAATTTTCCCCACTAAAATTACATTATTTACATATTATAGATTTGTTTTTCTTTTCTAAAAAAAAAAATTATAATCAAAGGAATTTTTTATTTTTTAAAAAATTTTGCTTCCAGAAATTCCTTTTTGCAATTAAAATAATATCTTCTCTACGACAAAAAAAAAATAGTGTACATTTTTATATAAAAGGAAAAACAAATTATAGAAATTCTTTTTTAAACTAATATAGATTTTAAACAAATGAAGAAAATTTATAGATAACTAATAAAATAAGAAGAATGAGTGTTTAATGAAAAAAATTAAATGGAATTTTCTTCGAGAAAGTCTATATAAAAAATATATATATATATTATTCGTTGAATGCCTCGCTTTTGTAAAAAGTATTAAATGTTATTTAAAAACAGAAAAAAAATGTAGAAAATGTGTATTTTTATCTTGCACACTTTGTTAATGTAAATAGGCGAATAAAATGAATGAAAAAAATTGTTTTAAGCATAAAAAGAAAAAAATGTTTGTGTTTTTTTCCATTTCTTTTGAAAAGAAATAAGTTTTTACTGGTGGAAAAATTTTTTCTATCAGGAAAACTTTTGATATTATATTTAATATATTTTAGTATTAAATTATTATTATATTACAATTGCTATATATATTATTATTAATATACTTCTTTTACATATTTCAAAAATATTTTAATATATATTTTTTTATATATTTTTTTTTATTATTCATTTTATTTTTACGTATTTATTTTTATTGATTTAAATAATAAGTAAAGTTTTATTTTCTCTTGTCAGGGACAATTTCATACTTAATCGTCATTCCAGTCGTCGCATCTCTGAAACAAAAAAATAATTTGATTTTTTATAATTAACAATTTAAAAGTTTCTTATTTTACATTCTTTCGCGCTCCGAAAAAAATACAAAAATTTTTGTTATGTTTCTATTTTTTTTTAAATAAAAATACACTGCTATTATTAATATAAAAATAATAAAATTATTATTTAAAAAAAATTTTAAAAAAATATAATAAATAATAATAAAAATATTAAGTACAATAATAAACATAGATTTTTTTAATAAAATAATTAACAAACCTCGCTGCCTTTGTCGGAGAGGCAAGAGAGTAAATTTTGTGAAAATTTACATTTGTCTTGATTTCGATTATTTTGCAAATATTGAAAACACTCGAAAATTGATTCTTCCACGAAATCACGTAATTCCGGATCCATTATATTTTCGGTCATTATTTCAGAGACGGAATTAATTTCTGGAAAACCTCTTTGATCTACCTTTAAGAAAAGAAAAATAAAGTGAAACAAAAATATTTAAATTTTATATTTTTTTCAACTTCTTTTTAAATTTTATCTTAATTTTAACTTTTTAATTTAATAAATAAAATTAAGTTTTAAATCAATAAATTTCAATTTAATAAATAAATAAAAAAAAATTTTTTTTTTTAATAATCCTTTTTTTTATTAACTAAATTATTGAAAAATGTTTTTTTTATATAATTAGAAAAAGTTAAAAAAAAAGATTTTTATTTTTTTCTACATAAAATTAAAAAAAATGGAAAAATTTAACTACTTACCAAATTCAATTCGTTGAAAAAACATTGAATGACGCACTGCAATGAAATAAAATTAGTTTACTCTCATAACGAAAAATTGTCAATTTTTTCTTTATTTTTATTATTTTATAATTTATATTTTTATTATTTTATTTATTTTTTTCTCATCTTTCTTTATTTCCATTTTTTAAATTTTTTCCCGCGTTTTTTAAGTAATTTTTAAATTCAAATAATTGCGCGCGGACGGAATGGAGGACGAAGGGGGGATAGCCCAATCACCATCGCGCTTCCCCCACTTCAAGAATAGAGGCCGAACTTTATTCTTAATTTAAAATTTAAAAAAAACTACAAAAAAATAATTATGAAACGTTAAAAAAAATATTTCGGACTCTTAGACTTTTTAGAAATATATTTCTTTACCCTAAAAATAAAAAATAATTACAAAGAAATAAAAAAATTCTTACAATTGATTTTCGATTTTCGCCGTCCTGATTAAAAGAACTATAGTTTTGCAAATTTTTATTGCGATTTAAAATATTTTTATCCCCATAAGAACGATGATCCATGTTATTATCTCGAAAACTGGATTTCTCCTCGTGTCTTTTTTGCCTCATTCCGAATCTCTCTCTATATGAAATTAAAAAATTTACAATTATTTATTAAATTCAAATATTAAAATTAATTTAAGTAAGTGATTTGTTTATTTATATATTAATAATAATTTTAATAAATTATTTGTTTATTTAAATGTTAATATTAATGTAAATAAATAATTTGTTTATTTAAATGTTAATATTTATTTAAATAAATAATCTGTTTATTTAAATGTTAATATTCATGTAAATAAATAATTTGTTTATTTAAATATTAATAGTAACTTAAAAAAATAATTTTTCTATTTAAATATTTTATTAATTTAGTATTTATTTTAAGGTCCCTTGGTTATTAAAATGTTTTACTAGTTTATTATTTATCAATTTATTTATAAAAATACTTTACTAATTCTTTATTTATTTATTTATTTATTAAATAAACAATTTATTTGTTATTAAAAAAATATAAATAATGAAAATAATATATTTACCGATAATTGGATCCATTTTTATTCGATTGACTATTTTTGCGTTTACTACCACCGGAGAGAAATTTTTTATCAAATAAATCTTCATTTGAATCGGATTCATTGGAATCTGAATCCGAATCGGAATAATCTCCACTTCTTCCATTATGTGAACTTCGACGTCGGCAAATTTGCATTACTTTTCGAAATTGTTCATTTGTTTGACGATTTCCCGTTCGACATTTTAAACCCTAAAAACTTTTTCATTCTTAATATATTATATTTTTTTATATTATTAATTTATTTTAAAAAAACTTTTTATGCAAAAAAAATAATAAATTTTACGCAGTTATTTTTAAATTGAGATAATTGCGCGCGGCCGGAAAAGTCGAGTGGGGATAACCAATCACTGTTGAGCTTCCCTCACTTTCACAGAATAGACCGAAAGTTATTGTTAATTTAAAATAAAATAAATATTTTAATAAATAAATAAAAAATAATAAATAAAATAAAAATAATTTAAATAAATAAATTTCTTTTAACATTAATAAATAAAAAATAATAAAAAGTTTTGAAAAACTGTAAAAAAAATTTTTTTTTCAATAGGTGCCTATAAGCTATAATTAATTTTAGGTTTGAAATTTAATATTTACCGAATTTTCATCAATGAATAAAGTAAAATTGAGAAAAACTAGTAAAAAATAGACTCTCATTGTGAAACAGAATTTACTTTTTATTGAAAAATGAAATTTTCATCCGTATTTATAAAGTCCATTTTTTCACAAATAATTGAACCCCTAATTAATTTCTATTTTTTTTTCTTTTTTTTTTGAGTGACATGATATGAAATCAAAATACCGGATATTTATTTTTTTCTTTTCAGAGAATTTCCGGTTCTTTTCATCGCAGACAAATGACAAACTTGTTGAAATGAAAATTATAAATCATTTGTTAATTTTTCCTGCAATAATTAATTATTTACTGATAGAAAAATCAGTAAATTTGTCTTTATTAATTGCTATTAATTATTTCGTAAATGAAAGAATAACTATATTTTTTATATTTTATAATTATTAAAATGTTAATTATAGTTATAACTTATTAACTTTTAATTACTATTTCTATTTTTCATATTATTTTTTTAATTTATTAATAGTTAGGTACTAAATTCTCAATAAACTAAATTCTATTAATAATAATAATAAGTAATAATAATTTTGTTCATTTATTTGTTTTCACATAATAATTTATTCTTTTTTTTCTTTCGCAAATTTTTTTCTCGAACTCAAATTCTTCTTCTTCTTCAATTTTTAAATACAGATAATTTCAAGCGGCCGGAATAAATGAGTGGGGATAACCAATCACTGTCGAGCTTCCCCCACTTTCATAACAGAGGCCGAACGCTATAAATGAACGGTTTTAATAAAAAAAATAGCAAATATTAAGTAAAAATAATAATGAATTAATTACAATTTTAGGTGATTAATAAAAATAAATAATATTTATAATAATAATATTAATAATTATCAGTAATAATAATTAATAATACTATTTATTATTATAGTATATTATTGATAATAATTAATGATTTGAGCGTTAATTTTTTACTGATAATAATTAACAGTAATTAATTAATAATAAATATAAATAATGTCTAAAAATAAATGCAATAAAGAAAAAGATAAAAATTATTTTAAAAAATAATAAGAAAAAAATAAAGCAATAAGTATGAAATAATATAAACATTGCTTGTGTTACGTATTGAGGTCAAATATTACCGTTCAATTTTTTTTTCTGCCACGCTCGACGTCTTCTTAATTTGTTACTAATTTTCACAGATCTTAAAAGTTTAAGGACAGCTGAGAGAATTTTTGAAGGTGGGGAGAGAGAGTTTGCTCATAGATGCATATCCGATAAATGGAGCCTGTAGTTTGAATATTTCCCTCCGATTGTAAACACAATGTATTTTGCTTATTTTGTGAGTAGTAAAAATAATAATAATAAAAAATAATAATTTTCACCAAATTTTGAAAAAAAGGAAAAATAAAATTCATTAAAAAATTGTGACAGTGAACGTTAATAATTAGTGAATTGTTTAATAATTAATAGTGAATTAATTAATTAATAATTAGTTCACTTATTAGTTTTTAATTTAAAAATATCAAAAATTAAAAATTTATTAATATTTTAAATTTTAATATTCTATTAATAATTGTTATTACTTATTTTAATTAGTATTAGAATAAGTAGGTAATATGTTAATATTAATTATATTTTTCATTAATATTATTAATTAGTTTTGTAAAATTATTAATTATTCTTAATAATTTTCGATATTAATTATTTTTAATTAATATTATAAATTAGTTTTGTAAAATTATTAATTATTCTTAATAATCTTCAATATTAATTATTTTTAATTTGTATTATTAATTAGTGTTAATAATTCTCAATATTAACTTATTAAGTTTTCTTAATTAATATTGTGAATTAGTATTAATTAAAATATACTTCAATTTACTGTTTTTCTAACTATTTTTTAATTAAAATTAAAAAAATTAAAATCTTAATGTTTTTTTATTTTTTAAAAACTTATTAATACAGAAAATTAAAATAAATTTTCTCTAAAATAAAAATATTGTGGTGCACAATTTTTTTAAATAAAATTTCTAAGAACTAGAAATGACAAAAAAAAATATATTTTACATAATTTTCATTTTTAAAAAAAATTAATTTGTTTTTTTAAAATAAAAATTACCAAAAAAATTTACTTTTCGTAATTGTTATTTTTAAAAAAACATAAATTTGTTTTTTTTTCAACTAAAAATTAACAAAAAATTGATTTTTCGTAATTTTTATATTAAAAACTAATAATTTTGTTTTTTTATAAAAAGTAAAAATTAGGTACCGAAAAAATTTACTTTCCGTAATTTTTATTTTTCAAAATAATAAATTATTTTTTTAACTAAAAATTAACACAAGAATTTATTTTTCGTAATTTTTATTTTAAAAAATAATAAATTTGTTTTTTTTATTAAAAGTAAAAATTACCAAAAAAAATTTACTTTTTGTAATTTTTATTTTTCAAAAAAATAAATTTTTGTTTTTTTTAAACTTAAAATTACCAAAAAAAATTTATTTTTAGTAATTTTTGTTTTTTAAAAAGAAAAATTTGTGTCTAAAAAAATTTTAAATTTCGTTAATCAGAAAGAAATTATAATTCTTGATTTAATAAATAAAATTGATACTTTCACGTGAGACTGAATTCCCAATAGGAAGAAAAATTGGAATCATTGTCATTATACATTATGTTTAGGATCCGATTTGATTCAGATGAGTGATCAAGATTTTTCTGAGCGTAAATAATGCAACTTCCTCTTGGCGAAAGAAAGAAATAGGAAAAAAAAATTCTACTTTATTGTGAAGACGCAGTCCCATTTGATTAGTAAAATAAAAGAAAATTAAAAAAAAAATCTCATTACGAAAAAAATCCGCATGAATGGAAAATAAATCATGACTTTCTATACAAATTTCATTAAAAAAAAAAAAAAAAAAAAATTATCGCACTTTTATGCGCGCGTGTCAAACACATTTAATGAGAATATTCACTGGAGCGCGAATTCAAGTGTGAAAGTTCGAAAAATCGTTTTTTTTTTCTTAATTCCTAGTTCTTTATTTAATTTCTTTTTGTCGTCAATTACGACATCGAATTATAAATCCGGAAGTTTTGGAAAATATTAAAATCAATTGAATACTTGGAGAAAATATGGAAAATATTTTTTGTTTATAAGTTTTAATTTATTACAAACTTTTTTTTTTAATTAAATATTTAAAATAGTTTGAAATTAATAATTGCATTTTTTAAAATTAATTTTTAAAATAAAATAAATAATAAAAATAAATTTTTGTAATTAATTCGTTAGTCTAATTTTGTTTTCTAATTTAAATTTCCCTCTCGAACTTCTTTACCGACTGAACACAGACGAGAAACTCGGGAGGAAAAAAAAACACTTGCCTTTTTCAATGAGTACTTCTATAAAAGAAAAAATGAACTATTATTAAATTATTCCCAATAAATAAATAAATAAAAAATAATTTTTTTCAGCTTATTTCATGGACTTTTTGGACGTTTCCAGTGAAATCTCAAATTTATCCAAAAACGATGAATTATTACGAGCGAATAAACGGCTCACCGCGTGGAACAATGTTAAAAATAGGAAAACAATTTTCGAATTCATTGAAAATTTATCCAGACAATCAATTTTCGATGATAAAACGTTCGAAAAATCGTTATTTAAAAACAAAACCGCAAAGGCAACGTCACGTTCTCTATTATCCACCGCCGAAAACTTATCATTATCCATATGCCGATAGATTTAAAAATTTCTACAAAAATCCAGGATTTCATAATTATAATTATTTTAATAATTATCGTGACAACAATAATAATAATAAAAATAATGATGAGAAACAAAAGAATATTATCGATGAAACAAAACAAAATGAAAGTGAAAATAATATAGACGATGAAACGAGAGTAAATTTTCAAAAGAAAAAACCCTCAGAGTATGAAAATTTTTTAATCGAGAACGTGAATTCTTTAATGAAAAATAAAAATTCTTGGATAAAAAATGGAAATTTAGTTTTACCTACTTTAAAGCATAATAAAAATTCGTTGATAAAAAATGGGGATTTATTTTCAAATCATAGAGATTCACCGTTAAAAAATGGGAATTCGGGAAATTTTTTTGTAAAAAATGAAAAATTCTTTTATCCACCGGTACCGAAAAAATTTATGGAACCACCGGGACGCGCAACGAGTGATTATCGAATTTATAAAAGACCTGAAAAATATTCGAAAAATACTCGCACAAATAATAACGAACTTTATAAAAATCATAATTTTTACAAAAATCACAAAATGAATGATAATGAGGTCAAAAATTCTGACCGTGCCCCCTACATTCGTGATCATGCACCAGAAAATAATAATCAGGTAAAAATGTTAATTTTCATTTTAAAAATAAAAAATAAAAAAAAATAATTAAAGGTAAAAATTTTCTTTTTTTAATAACGTTCATTCTTTAATAATGGCTTTAGTTTCACTAGATATTGATATTTTTTTAATCAAATTTTATCTTATTGAATTTCAATGAATAAAAAATACTTTGTGAGTTTCGTATCTATAATCATTGTTGTTCATGATGTCGGTAAAACAGTTTTAGCGTTTTGGCGCGAAATTCAAATTAGTGAAATTAAAAGAAAAATTATTTTCATTAATTAAGGTCATGTTATTCAGTGGTCACGTGTCCCATAAATTATAATATGGGAACACGTGACCACTGAATAACATAACCTTAAAAGAAAAATAAATACCTTAGGAGCTGTCAGAAGATGAAAATGTTGCAAACGAGACTGAGGGGGAGGAGGAGGATGGAAAATTCCCTAAAAAAATTACAAACGTTTCTGGAATTTCTCCCGATGGCGACAGAGTCGAATTTCAAATTCAAGGCCACGAGGGACCGAGAACTTATCTCTTTGGCTACGATACCGGCGAAGGGTAATTATTACATAATTATGATTTTTTTTAAATTAATTAATTTAATACTTTATTTTTTATTTATTTAATTTATTAACTTATTTTTTATTTATTTAATTTATTAATTAATTTTTTATTTATTTATTCAATTTATTTATTAATTAAATTAATTAATTAATTAAAAAGTAACGAGCGATTTATAATTATTGTTCTAAAAAATTGTAGAAGTAATCGACAATACCGACTGGAGGAAAAATTAAAGGACGGAACGGTGAAGGGACAATATGGCTACTATGACGCGAGGGGGAAATTAAGAGCAATTAAATACGTCGCAAAACCTTCGGAAGGCTATCAGGAGCAACATCATTCAAGTCCGGAAATATTTGACAATAACGAGAAAGAAAAGGAAAAAAAAGAAATTTAAATTTCCCGCTCTCTTTACCCATCTACCTTACCGACTGAACACAGAGGGGAAACTCACCAGCGAAATTTCCACTTCATACAAAAATCATCTTGACAAATTAATTTTTCGACCACAAACTTGAACCGATTGACAAAATTTTTTTTTTAAATTAAAGATAATAAAATTTTGCATAAAACGTACGTACGTTTCATGCAAAATTGTATTATCTTTAATTTAAAAAAAAATTTTTTTGACAATCGGTTAAAAATTGTGGTCTAAAAATCAAATTGTCTAAGGACGTGTTTTTTGCCCCACTGTGTAAAGAAATTATTTTTATAACATAATAATTATTAAAAGTTGTATGGGAAATAAAGAAATTATCAATAATATCCAGAGATTAAACAGTCATTTATTCAACAAGAACAATTGTTATGTACAAAATAAGATGCCAAGAAGACTATATTATTTAACATTCGAAGGAAGTACACGTTTACTCCTGAAAAAAATACATACGAGTTTTGCGAGAGAAGAAAAAAATTAAAAAATTAAAAATTGTGCGAAACAATGCGATTTGTTTTTTTGTTTATTATTATTGATCTATATGAGGTAATTTGTAAAATAAATTTTGTTATACAATAAATATATTTATATATATATATATATGTGTGTGTGACAATCGGCGATAATATCAAACATCACGATTAGATTTCTTTTTGTCGGTGTATTCACGAAAATACACAATATTTAACACCTCCTTAGGAGGATTAAAAATTAATATTTCTCTTGTTTTCTTTTTAAAATTTGATTTCACTTTTTTTCTTTGTTTTTTAAAACTGGCAAATTTTTCTTTCTTTATTTTGCTTTCTGAGATTCGGCTGAGCCGTAGTGCGATGAACTCTTACTAATTTCGGACATTCCGATTATTTTGTGCATCATTAAGAAAACTGAAAAAGTGAAAAATAATTTATTTTATTAAATTATTAAATTAAAATTATTAAATTATTTAAATTATTCTCTTTAGTCGAAATAGCATTTCTCTCAATTGATTGTAATCAACATAGTTGAGAGAAAAACAATTTTTACGACTGAGTTTCCTGTCTATTAGGTCGTTTAGTCATTGGGCCGGTAAAACAGTGACCAGGCGGGAAAATTCAAATGAAGGATTTTTGTCATACTTACATAGACCTATGATTCCGGCGCCTATGGAAAAGTAGATCGTCGAACCGGACAAAAATAGTCTCACTAGATAATAAATCATTGGAACAAGAATGACAATTGCCCAAAACATTACTTGAATCACAGGATAAATTCTTCTATTGTACTTAATACTGTCGAGTTTTGGAACTCCGCTAGTTTTAAAAAAATCGCCAGTTTCATTGAAACTCTCGGCCAAACGATCCTGTTGAAAGAATAATAGTTTTTATAGTAAAAATAGAAAGGTATAAAATGAGTAAAAATATTTTTCCCAATAGAAGAGGGTTTAATACTTTTAAAAAAATTATTTTCATTTTCTCTCTTACTTTACGTTGATAAAGTTGTTGAAGCCATTTGGCTGCGGCTTCATCGCCTTCGGGAACTTCCGATAGAGGAATTCGCCTCACATACATGTAGGGTTGAACTTTTTTACCCAAAAGAAGACTTCTCATTGTGGGTTTATTTGGTTCACTCGACTTAAATGCCAATTGAACATCGTAAATTGCATCGACTTTATTTTTCATGCTTGGTAGACTTGCGATAAAACCCCTAGTGCGCGGTGTTAAATGATGCTTTAATACTGGTAGTCCCTTTTCTTTGGCGAATTTTTGACTTGCTTCACATTTTTCTGGCGTGAAACGCGTTCCCTCGGCAAAGAGCAACAACTAATAAAGAAAATTTCAGTATTTATTTTAACTAAATTAACTATAATCTAGTTTATTAACGCATCAAACAACCACATTCTTCCTTTCTAATCATTCACCAAAAAAAAAAAAAAATGTTAAATCTGAAAATGTAAAGAGAAATTCAACTAACCCACATTGCGTCTGGAAAATCGGCCAATTCTTTCATTTGAACACCAATCATTGTTTTATCCTTGTCCCAATTTCTCTCAAGGAATATACTCTCGGCGAATTTCCAAGCCCAGCCCAAAGTTGGAACGTATTGAATTGATTTTTTCGCGTAAGCTTTACAATTCTACGGTCAAGTTTTTAGTAAATATAAATATACAAAATTTTATAATTTTTATAGTATAGGATAAGTAATAAAGTATCAACCTGCACACAGCAGAATCGAGGGCTCAAATATAAAATTAGAGACTAATAACTAATAGTTGAAAAGGGAATATTGACAATTTATATTACTCGAAAGTTATTTAAATAACAATGATATCCTATAAAGGGGGTATTGACAATTTACATTAATACAAATTTGTTTAATTAACAATGGGATACAAGAAAAACAGTATTGCTAATTTTTATAACACAAGAATTATTTAAATAACAATGGGCTTTTTAAAAAGGGAGTATTGATAATTTTTGTTAACTAAATGATTAATTAAATAACAATGGGATCCTAAAATAGGGGGCATTGCTAAATTTCATTATTAAAGAATTATTTAAATACCAATTGGATTCTAAAAAAAGGGTATTGACAATTTTTGTTACTGGAAATTTATTTAAATAATAATGGGATACTAATTGTGGAGGTTAGTGACAATTTATTTTACTGAAGATTTATTTAAACAACGGAATCCTAAAAAAAGGGGTATTGCTAATTTTCGTTACTGAAGATTTATTTAAATAACAATAGCATCATAAAAAATGTGTTTTTGATCACTTTCGGTACTGAAGAATTATTTAAACAACAATGGGATCCTGAAATAGGCAGTATTGGTAATTTTTGTTACTAAAGAATTATTTAAATAACAATGGGATCCTTAAAAAAAGAGTTTTGACAATTTTCGTTGCTGAAAATTCATTTAAATAACAATGGAATCCTAAAAAGGGCGGTTAGTGACATTTTATATTACTGAAGATTATTCAACTTACAATAAAATCTTAAGAAGTGGGCAATGATTATTATATTACTGAAGATTATTTAACTTACAATGAATTCGTTAAAAAAGGGTCACTGACAGTTACTGAAGACATATTTTAAAAAGGGGATTTAGTGCCATTTTATATTACTAAAGATTTATTTAAATAACAATGGGATACTAATAAGAGTGTTAGTGACAATTTACATTACTGAAGATTTATTTAAATAACAACGGAATATTAAAAACGTGTTTAGTAACAATTTACATTACTGAAGATTCATTTAACTAACAATAGGGTTCCAAAACGGGATTAGTGATAATTTACATTACTGAAGATTTATTTAAATAACAATGGGATCTTTAGGAAGAGAGTATTGATAATTTTCGTTTATAAAGAATTATTTTTTAAAAAATTTGTATCTTAATAATGGAATAATTTACTTTACTGAAGATTCATTTAAACAACAATTTATTCTAAAAAAGGTTTTGCTAATTTTCGTTACTGATGATTTATTTAAGTAACAATGGGATTCTAAAGTAGGCAGTATTGCTAATTTTTGATACTAAAGAATCATTTAAATAACAATGGGATACTTAAAAAAGGGTTTTGACAATTTTCGATGCTGAAAATTTATTTAAATAATAATAGAAGCCTAAAAAGGGCGGTTAGTGCCATTTTATATAACTGAAGATTTATTTAAATAACAATAGTGTCCTAAGGATAGGGTATTAATTATTATATTACTGAAGAATTGTTTAAAAAACAATCGGATACTAATAATGGAGGTTAATGGCAATTTACTTTACTGAAGATTTATTTAAATAATAATAGTATCCTGAAAAAAGGGTATTGACAATTTTTGTCACTAAAGAATTATTTAAATAACAATGGGATACTAATAAGAGTGTTAGTGACAATTTACATTACTGAAGATTTATTTAAATAACAACGGAATATTAAAAACGTGCTTAGTTAAAATTTACATTACTGAAGATTCATTTAAATAACAATGGGATTCCAAAACGGGATTAGTGATAATTTACATTACTGAAGATTTATTTAAATAACAATGGGATCTTAAGGAAGAGAGTATTGATAATTTTCGTTTATAAAGAATTATTTTTTTCAAAATTTGTATCTTAATTAAATGGAATAATTTACTTTACTGAAGATTCATTTAAACAATTTAATCTTAAAAAACGTTTTGCTAATTTTCATTACTGATGATTTATTTAAGTAACAATGGGATCCTAAAAATAGGGTATTGCTATGTATCGTTACTGAAGATTTATTTAAATAACAATGGAATCTTAAAAAAGGGAGTATTACTAATTTTCGATAATTAAGATTTATTTAAATAAAAATGGGCGATTCTAATAATAGATGTTAGTGTAAATTTACTTTAATGAAGATATATTTAAAAACAATGGAACCCTACATTCGGCCATCGATTACTTTTTCGCTTGGTACTATAGCAACTAATCATTATTTGATCTGCAGTGTCAACGACTCCTATATTTGAGTAGCAGTTCTAATAGATTGACGTAAATGAGTTTCACTCCATTCCATTTGGTTTTTTGAAATAAACATTGAGTCAACAGAAGAAGTTACAGTTTTTCCGTATATTCACTATCACTTTGCGTATCGGAATCACTTAGATCTGAGTTATTGTTATCGTATTCAATATCAGAAATATCTGAGGTCACTTTCGATTTCTAGATCATTTTCAAAAGTTGTACTATTTTCATTTGCACTTCTTGTGAAATAATGTAAATTCGCCATATCTTCAAGCAGTAGATTCGTGAAGGAGAATTATAGAAATCGATTTCAGTATTGTTAGAAAAATTCTGATTAAACAAACTAGTCACGTCGATGTAAGGGAGAGTGATAACTGGCGTAGGTCGAAGGCAAAGTTGAGACAAATGGTTCGTTAAATTTGTCATTCGATCGTGGTAATTTGAATAATAGACGTTCAATTAATTGTCAGGAATCGATTATGTTTATTAAAGTATATATAAATTTGCATTGAATATGAGTGCGTCTATTTTGAGGAGTAACATTGAATTCCTTGCAAAGCTCAATATATGAGTAACCACACTCAGGATATTGGTGGTGACGAAGAAAATAGCAATATTTTAAGAAACGTTTTTGTATTTTCTCAAGGTACTCATCTTTTTCGAAATGTGTATCCCATATATGTGGTACGTACTCGGTTTTAGGTCGGACAAGTGAGTTAAAAAGGACTTTAAGAACTTTTATATCTTTAAAGTGTTTTGTATTACTTGAAATAATTCCTAAGGTTTGTGAGGCAGAGTTGTGAACAGAAAGGTTATAAGGACGGAAATTAAGTTTGGTTAAAATGAAGTCGAAAAGGAAAATTTGTGATTATATTACTGAAGATTATTCAACATACAATGATATTCAATAAAACGGGAGTTCTGTATTCAATATATTACTGAAGATTTATTTAACTAACAATGGAATTTTTAAAAAAGGTTACTATCCATTGTATTAATGAAGATTTATTCAACTCACAATGGACCCTCGAATCCTGCTTTATGCATAAAAAGAGATTAGTAAATAATAGAATAATTAATGAATAGAAAAATGATTAATAATTACTTAATTAAATAATTAAAAGAATACTCACTCCAAGTAAATTGATTGGCTCAGTGAATACCCAACCGATAAGCCAATCAATTTCATAGGTATGATTCATTATACAATATCCGTGTTCCTTGCCAAAATATTTTTCATACTCTTCCTTATCGGCAAAAATTACTGGTGTCGTGTCAGACCACCATGCGGTCATAAAAACTAATTCTGAAAATAAAGAAAAATTCAATGAATAAGAAAATACGTTTAATAAGAAAATTTTTATTATACAGTATATTTAGAATAGTGTAATAAATTATTATTTATTAATTTATACTCACGGCTATAAAATGAATAACACAGGTAATAATTTACTTTACGGTACAGATATTTCGATATCGGTCGTAATCCAATGTATAAAATGAATTGCAATAAATTAATTATCAGGCCGGATGTAAAAAAAGTAATAGCAAAAAGTAGATGAACTACTCGAGATTCTTTAAATTTCATAAGTATCCCCATTTTTGTACGGTGATTTTGTGCACTTTTGTTTTTTTTGTTTTAAATTCAGTCTATCTGCAAATAAACAATTATTAATTTTTTATTATCTAACAAAGGGGGTTATAACTTTATTATATTAATTATAATTATATATAATATATATACAGATATATAATTATATATTATTATATTCTATATAATATAATTATAATATAATGTAATTAACTTAATTATAATTAATTATAACTTATAAAAAGTTAGAATTTTAAGTTGAGTAAAGAGTAGCATTTAACTATTTTATATTAAAATAACAATTGAACAATAAAAATAAAATTTAATATTATTTTGAATGTAAATATATCAAAGGTTTAAGAATATCCATATTTATCCGTCTTTTTATAAATTTTTCATTCTTATGAAATGTTTATGTTTCTAATGAATGTTAATATTGATTTTTTCTAACAAATATAGAAAATATCTTCAAAACGTAATGTTTACAATAGAAACATATAGAAATGGATGTGTTAAGTCTTGTATTATATATAGATAGGTGAATAAAGAAAAAAAAAATCTCTATTCTATGGTCACATATAACTTTGGTGACTTTGCACTTGACGATGATGCAACTATAATAAATTTAAGTGACGCTCAAAGTCCATGAATGTATATAGCGTTTAAAGTGTGTATTTTAAAATGTGCATAAACAAAAGTTTATTCAATATTCTCTAAAAAAAAATTATTCACTTTACCTGTTTACCTTTTTTGTATAAAACAATTTTTACTGCTGAATTTGAAAATTTTCAAGAAACAAAAGAATAACACAGAAATAATAATAATAATAATAATAATAATAATAAAAATAAAAATAAATAATAATATTTTTATAAATTATATAAAATTATTATAAATACCTTTCAACGAAATTTTTTCTAATAACTTTAACAACGACATTTTCAATATCAATCAACTCAAGTTTAACGCTTTTATGAAACATTATTTTCTATCTTTATAAGAAACACGTTGTAATTTTTTAAATTAAAATGAAGATATCGATCACTCCGAGCTTTCGACTCGGAGTGATCGATTTCTTCATGTTTTATAATAATTAAAGATGGTCCAGTGATTAAATTAAATATATATTAAAAAATAAAAACTTGAAATAATATTAAAAAATGCAATTAAACTTTTTCAAAAAAATTTAAAAATTCAATTATTTCTAAAAATTCACGTTATAGGGTTTTTAATATTCAATTATCTAAAATTTTAACTAAAATTCATTTTTATATAAATTTTTATTAGAAAATTCTACTAGAATTCAATTATTGAAATACAAATAAAATGCAAATAAATAACTTATTGAATAATTGAATGTTTCTTAAAATAGAATTCTCATAAAGATTCAATTAAATTTTATTAACAAATTTTTAAATAATTGAATTCTTTTGACGAATATTAATAAAATTTTTAAGAATAATTACATTTTTCGAGAAATTTGATTAAAATTGTGTTAAAAATAATTGAATTTCGAAAAAGAATTTTATTATTTTTGTACATAATTAAATTTCTGCGAAGAATTTTATTACTTTTGAAAATAATTGAATTTCTGAAATAATTTGTAATTTATCTTCAAAATAAAATTTTTTTTCGTATTTTAAACTAAAATTCTTCTATAAATCCATTATTTTTAAATAATTTTTTGAAACAGTTCTTTAAGAATTTTCGAATTCATTTGTTTAAAATTCAATTTTCCAAAATTTCAATTATTCGGAAATTTTTCAATTAATTATATAATATTAGAAAATAAAAACTCAAAAAAAAGTAATTTCAAGTAAAATTAAAATAAACTTTTTCCAAAAAATTAATTCTTCTACAGAATTGTTAGTTAAAAGTATGAAAAATTAAAATTTTCAAAGATTTTAATATGAAATCTTTTCAAAATTCAATTTTTTTAAAAAACTTAAGCTATGCTTTTAATATTCAATTATAGTCTAAAATTTTAAGAGAAATTAATTTTTAAATCAATTTTTATTAGATAATTCTACTAGAATTCAATTATTTAAATAAAAAATATTAATTTATTGAATAATTAAATTCTCATAAAGAATTTTATCAACAAATTTTTAAATAAATTGAATTCTTCTGAAGAATTTTAATGAAAGTTTTAAGAATAATTACACTTGTCGAGGAATTCCATTAAAATTGTATTAAAAAGTAATTGAAATTCAGTAATGAGTTCTATTATTTATGAAAATAATTGAATTCCTAAAAAGAATTTTATTTACGGAAATAATTCAATTCCTTGTAAAAATTTTATTATTTATGAAAATAATTGAAATTTTGACAAGAATTTTATTAAATTTGAAAATAATTGAAATTTTGACAAGAATTTTATTAAATTTGAAAATAATTGAATTTCGGGAGAAGAATTTTATTATTTCTAAAGATAATTGTAATTTTGAGAAGAATTTTATTATTTTTGAAAATAATTGAATTTCTGCAATCATTTGTAATTTCTAATAATAGAAAAATAATATAATATAATTATAATATTATAATTATAATTAATTAATTATTATTATAAAAAAATATTAAATATTTTAAATAAACAATTTTTCAAAAATTATTATTAAAAATAAATTTCGAAACTAGTTTAGTACTTGTTGACTCAGTATCAGATAATGGTCTTACGCAAATTAATTTTGTAAGACTAGCTTAATAATATATCGGAATTAAAATCTATAGAGATAATTTACTTATATTGTTGATAGTTGACAAAAAGAAATTTGTTTTTTTTTCGAATTATTATATTTTTTACATTTCATTTGCATAAAAATTCTTGTTATCGCTAAAATTTAAATAGATTAAGAGAAAAACGTGTTTGACGATAAAAAAACAAGAATAAACGAACGAAAGGTGCCAATGTAATGAAAGAAAAGAAAAATAGACAATATATTGCAAAAGTCATTTGGTTAAATAAAAGTTCTCATTGTATATATTAAATCGCGATCTAATTTATTACTAATTCTTATGTAAGAAAATAATGAATCAAAAGAAAACAAACTAAAATTTACTTTTAAAAATATAAAAAAAAAGTATTTTCAAATAACGAGCATTGTAATTTTAATGCTTTTTTTTTATCTATATAATTTCTTTTGTTATTCGCAATATTCATAAGTTCATATGATTCACAATTTTCTCATTTCTCATTCATGCAATAACTTAACCTAAAAATTCGAAGAGTAATTATACATTTATTTAAAAGTAAAATTACCAAAACATTAAGAGACGAAAATTTTATAAATTTAAGAAAAAATAAAAAATAGAGATATTGAACGCATTTTTTATATAAAAAATGTAAAAATCAATTTCTGATGTTATAAGACAAATAATAACGGAAGATAAAAAATTTGTAACGGTGAATTTTAAATTATTAGAAATGAGCAGGTGAAAGAATGAAGATTCATCAAAAAAAGAAAAAAAATAGAAAGTGCGTGATATATAGGTATAGATATATATTATTTCTAATACTATAGAGAGAATATTATATTTTAATTTTTCAAAAACTTACTTATTTTAGCATATCGCTGTTGCTGTTAAGTGTGTGCGTATTGTTTATCAAAGCATTTTGAATGACACTGAAAAAAAGGACATTTCTTATTTTTAAATTGTTTATAATTTTTTTTTTAAGAATTTCCTAAACAAATAGTGAGAATAGACCATGTACGACTGTGAAATCGTGAATTTAACTGAAAATTGAAAGAAGCTTGAAATTGTTAGAGTTCAAGATTGAGGATACAATAATGTAGTCATAGTTTACTAACTGTAGAGAAGTGTTAACTGACGTTGAGGTCTTGGAACCCCTTGTGGAATATTTAAGGAACACGGTCGGTAAGAAAGATTTGGCGGGAAAAATTGAAAGGAATTTTTTTATTTTTCAGGGCTGCCACCACAGATTAGGGAATTCAGGGAAAAGTCAGGGATTTTTATTAAAAGTACTGAAAAAAACTAAATGTTTGGAATTTATAAGAAAATTCTGAATTTTCTTGTTTTTGCCTCAGAAATTATAAAATTATCACGTATTCTAAAAAAACCAATTTTTTCCATTTTTGACAATAATTTCTCTTTAAATAATTTAATTCTATTGAAGAACTGCCATGAAGTTATTGCTTATAAATCATTTAATGAAGTATTTTTTTGAAAAATTTAAGTTTCAATTTTGTTGAAAATAGTTTCAATTTTTAAAATTTTAATGCAATTTTTTGAAAGAATTGAAATATCTTAATAAATATCAAAATTCATTCTAAAAATTCAATTATTTTGAAGAAATTAAACAAAAAAAATTCTTGTCAACATTTCAATTATCTTGATAAATGGCAAAATTTTTCACCGAAATTCAATAATATTCAGGAATTTTAATAAAATTCATTGTAAAATTTAATTATTTTAATAGATAATAATATTCATCACAAGAATTCAATTATTTTCAGAATAAATAAAATACATTGCAGAAATTCAATTCTTTAAAAAAAATTTTTTAAAAATTGTCGTCAACATTTCAATTATCTTTATAAATAATGAATAGCAAAATTCTTCAACAAAATTCAATTATTATTATTTTCATAAATAATAATTTTCATCAAAAGAATTCAATTATTTTCAAAAATAATAAAATTCTTTGCAAAAAGTTCAATTATTTTCAAGAAATCTAAAAAAAAAAATTTTCGTTAACATGTCAATTATCATTATAAATAAATATGCAAAATTCTTCGACAAATTTTCAATTATTTTCAGAAATTTTAATAAAATTCATTGCAAAATTCAATTATTTTCATAAATAATAGTATTCATCACAAGAATTCAATTATTTTCAAAAGTAATAAAATTTAATTATTTTCAAAAATTTTAATAATATTCATGGCAAAACTTCAATTATTTTTAAAAAATTGAAATGTTTTTTAAAATTGGACATTAAATTCTTCGCAATAATTCAATTATTTTCATAAATTTTAAAATTCCTATCAGGCATTTAAAAATTATTTTCATAAATAATAAAATAATTCGTAGAAAGTCAATTATGTTCATAAATAAAAATATTTATCACAAAATAGAATTATTTTCGAAAATTTTCTTAATTCAATTATTTTTACATCTATTACTTTAATAAAATTTCCCCAAAAGAATTCAATTTTTTAAAAACAATTTTGACAAAATTCTACACGAATATTCAATTATTTTCTATAATAATATGAAAATTTCACAGAAATTCAATTATAAAAAATAGAATTTACATTAATTTTTTCGAAAAAACTCAATTGTTTAAAACTTTTTTATAAAATTGTTCGAAATAATTCAATTATTTCTATAAACAATAAAACTCATTGCAGAATTTCAATTATTTATTTATTTTTAATTCAATTTTAATCGAATTCCTCAAAAGTTGTAATTATTCATAAAAATTTAATTAATATTCGTCGAAAGAATTCAATTATTTAAAAATTTGTTGATAAAATTATGTATAAGAATTCAATATTAATTCAATCATTTAATTATCTATGTTTTAGAAATTTCACGTAAAATTGAATTGTAAACAAATTGATTTAAAAATTCTCAAGAAGAACTTTTTTAAAAATAATTATTAAAAATAATGGATTTATAGAAGAATTTTAGTTATAAGAACACAAAAAAAATTTAATTTTGGAGAAATTACAAATTATTGCAGAAATTCAATTATTTTCAAAAGTAATAAAATTCTTCGCAAAAATTTAATTATGTTAAAAAATAATAAAATTTTTTTTAGGAATTCAATTATTTTCATAAATAATAAAAATCCATCGCAGAATTTCAATTATTTTTAACACAATTTTAATCAAATTTCTCGAAAAATGTATAATTATTCTTAAAAGTTTTATTAAAATTTGTCAAAAGAATTCAATTATTTAAAAATTTGTCGATAAAATTCTTTATGAGAATTTAATTTTAAGAAACATTCAATTATTCAATATATTATTTATTATTTGCATTTTATTTGTATTTAAATAATTGAATTCTAGTAGAATTTTCTAATAAAAATTGATATAAAAATTGATATAAAAATGAATTTTAGTTAAAATTTTAGATAATTGAATATTAAAAACCCTATAACGTGAATTTTTAGAAATAATTGAATTTTTAAATTTTTTTGAAAAAGTTTAATTGCATTCTTTTAATATTATTTGAAGTTTTTATTTTCTAATATATATTTAATTAAAGAATTTACGAATAATTGAAATTTCGTAAAATTGAATAGTGAAAACAAACGGATTTGAAAATGTATTGTCAGATGACTTTTTCGAAAATTAATTGATTTAAAGAAGAATTTTTGTTAAAAATTCTTGAAAATAATAATTTAATTGAAATGATAAAAATAATTTGGAGGAATTTTAATATTTTTATAATATAAAATAATGTTTTTATCACTGAGCCATTTCCTCATGTTTTTCAATAATATTTTTATCCGTTATTGAATTTAAAAAGGTTTGAATTAAAAATTTTTGAAAATCATAATTTCCATGGAAAAATAATATTGATTAAATATTTATTTAAAAATATATTTTTAATTTTTTAAAATAATTTAAATTTAATTTTTTTTGGTCATGGAAAAGTTATAGAAAAGTCAGGGAATGTCAGAGAATTTCATTGAAAGTCAGGAAAATTTCTATAATGGTAAAAAATAAAAATCGTTATAAATAAATAATGTTTAAAAATGTACGAACACATAAATAATAAATAATAATAATAAATCATATCGAAATCGGAACATTACAAGTCTATACATCCGTGAGAAAAAAATCGATTGGCGCTTAAAAAATCTCTCGCGAGATTTCGCTGAAGTCGTCCAGGTGTGGGTAAAGGTGGAATGCAATTATCAGTTAGGGACTCTCGGAGAGAATACAACCGGCGTATAGGTCGAAGAATGTCTGCGTGCTCTCTTCTGCCCTCAGTATCTCGTGAATAGTCGTCGGATGAGGAGCACTATAGAAACATTCACCATCCCTCCCTTTTTTTTAAACATCCGTTAATCATGTGTCGAGCGCACCTCATCCAATCACCACACTTGTTTTCTCATTGAAACGATCCTCCCCCTCGTGACACGCGGAAACGTGATCAGAAACTCATCAACTCTTCAGCCCTCCAAGAATATAATAGAAGCAGAAAAATTTACAAAAAAAAAGAATGTAAAAAAAATTTTAATAAATAAAAAATAAACCACTTTAAAAAACAGAAATTTTGCATTCAAATGTACCGTCTACCTTGAAAAAATGTAATATTTCTTGTTTTTTCTGATTAAAGAAGTTTTTTCTGAATTGAATACAAAGTGAATGTAAATTTTTTTTTCCTGCCAGTGAATATCAAAAGAAGTTCCCGACTCGAAAGAAGAAAAATAATGTTGAGGAAGATTGTTGTGCGTGCATATCGTGGGACAAGAACAGTGGATGAATAATAATAAAACTTGCGGGCAAAATAGTTTTATTTTAAAATTGTGTGATGTTGAGTTTTGATTCGAAAGTTGAGGGATTGATGAAGAATTGGAAGATGTGGTGGTTAATAGTGTTGATGTCAGTGAGGACAATTTGGGGAGCACATGGAGCTTGTGAACCAATTAGAATAGAAATGTGCCGGGGACTTGGATACAATGTGACTGCAATGCCGAATTTGATTGGTCATGAGGTACAGGGTGATGCTGAATTCACGCTACAGACGTTCAGTCCTTTGATTCAATACGGATGCAGGTAATATATTTTTTTTCTTTATTTATAAATTTTTCTTTTAGGGATACTAATCATTACTTTAACAGATGACCCAAAGGTTGACCATTGTTATTTTAAGGATATCCTAGAAATATTTTAATTTTCTGATATGATTGGGACTCCTAAAACAGGGGATACTGAACATTATACTACTGAAGATTTTATTTTAAAAACCTACTAGAAAAAAGGGATACTGAACATTATACTACTGAAGATTTGTTTCCTAAAACCTATTAGAAAAGGGATACTGAAATACTGCTGAAGATTTTAATCTAAAAACCTACTAGAAAAAAGGGATACTGAACATTTTATACTATACTGAAGATTTTTTTTCAAAGTTCTTTAAAAAAGTGTGTACTGAACACAATACTACTGAACATTTAATTAACAATCATAAACAGGGGGATACTGGACATTATACTACTGAAGATTTGTTTCCTAAAACCTATTAGAAAAGGGATACTGAACATTATACTACTGAAGATTTTAATCTAAAAACCTACTAGAAAAGGGATACTGGACATTATACTACTGAAGATTTGTTTCCTAAAACATACCAAAAAGGGGATACTGAACATTATACTACTGAAGATTTGTTTTGAAAGTTCTTTAAAAAAGTAGGTACTCTTTATACTGAACACTATACTGCTAAATATTTAATTAACAATCATAAACAGGGGGGTACTGATCATTATACTTCTGAAGAATAATTTAAATAGAAATGGGGTCAAAAAAAAGGGATTACTGACTATTAGACTACAAGCGTAGGCAGAGGATTAACTAACAATGGGATTGTAATTAATGGGATACTGATCATTAACCTACTGAGGAATTAATTAAAACCCTTGAAAAAGGGATGCTGACCATTATACGGACAAAGATTTATTAAAATAACAATACGATCCTAAAAATTGGGTGTACTGGTCATTATACTACTGAAAATTCTTAAAAAAAAGATATTGACAATTTTCGTTACTGAAGATTTATTAAAATAACAATAAAATCCTATAAAGAGGGTATTGCTAATTTACATTACTGAAGATTTATTAAAATAACAATGCTGTCCTTAAAAGAGGGTACTGCTAATTTACATTACTGAAGATTTATTAAAATAACAATAAAATCCTATAAAGAGGGTATTGCCAATTTACATTACTGAAGATTTATTAGAATAACAATGCTGTCCTTAAAAGAGGGTACTGCTAATTTACATTACTGAAGATTTATTAAAATAACAATGGTATCCTAATAAAAGGGGTATTCCTAATGAATAATAATAATAAATAAATAATTAATAATAATAATAATAATAATAATAATAATAATAATAATAATAATAATAATAATAATAATAATAATAATAATAATAATAATAATAATAATAATAATGGTTTGGTACTGAAACTTAATTAAATAACAATTGGGTTCTAAGTAAATGAGGATACTGACTATTATACTACTAAAGATGTATTTAACAGCAAATTTAATTTAAATTAATTAATTAATTAATTCAAATTAAGGGGGTACTGATCATTATACTACTGAAGATTTAATTAACGCTCTTGAAAAGGGGGATACAGATAATTATATTACCAAAGATTTATTTAAATAACAATGGTATCCTAACAATGGGGACATTCGTGGTTTTCATTACTGAAGAATTATTTAGATAACAATGGGGACCTAAGGAATCGGGATACTGATTATTATACTACTGAAGATTTATTTGACTATAGTTAAATATAGTTATAGTTTTCATTGGTATACCAATTGAATTCTAACTCAGGGGTACTGATTATTATACTACTGAAGATTTAATTAATGCTCGAAGTGGCTGATGCTGATCATTATATTGCCGAAGATTTATTTAAATAACAATGGTATCCAAACTGCGAGAGCATTTCTAATTTTTGTTAATGAAAATTATTTAAATAACAATGTGGTCCTGAAGAATGGGGATACTGATTATTATACTACTGAAGATTTAATTAACACTTTTGAAGAGGGTAATATTGATCATTATGCTGACGAAGGTTTTTTGAAATAACAACGGTGTTCTTAAAAAAAGGGCATTGCCAATTTTTTTTAATACAGACTTATTGAAATAACAATGATATTCTATAAAAGGGGAAATAGCAATTAAAACTATTGAAGATTTATTAAAATAACAATGCTAATTCTAACAGTGGGGGAATTCAGAATTTTTAATACTGAAGAATTATTTAGATAACAATAGGGACTGATTATTATACTATTAAAGATTTAATTAGCGCTCTTGAAAAGGATGTTACTGATCATTATATTGCAGAAGATTTAATTAAATAACAATGGAATCCTAACAGTTGGGTATTCCTAGTTTTTGTTACTGAAGAATTATTTAGATATATTAATGGGGTCCTAAAGAATGGGGATACTGATTATTATACTATACTGAAGATTTATATTTAACTACCAATGAAAGTCTAATTCAGGAACTACTGGTCGATATACTACTGAAGAGTTATTTAACCAACAATGGGATTGTAATTAAAGGTGTACTGACTATTATACTACCTAAGATTTATTCATGTAGCAATGGTATTCCAATTAAGGAGATACTCATCATTATACTAATAAGGATTCATTTCTTTCATTTTTCTTTAAGGGATATTTCCCATAGTAGGGGTACTGACTATCATAGTACTGAAGATTTTATTTAAATAACAATAAGGGCTTAAAAAAGAAGGTCGTGACTATTAAACTACTGAAATTTATTAAATGAACAACGGGGTCTTAATTAAGGGATTACTGACTATTATACTACTAAAGATTTATTAACTACCGCAATTTAATTCTAATGAAGGGGATCCTGATTATTATACTACTGAAGATTTAATTAACGCCCTTAATGAAAGGGAAACTGAAAATTTACTTAAATAACAATGGGGTTTAATAAAGGGGGTACTGACTATTATACTACTGAAGATTTAATTAAAAAGCTCCCAAAGAGGATGATAATGATCATTATATTGCCAACGATTTATTTAAATAACATTGCTATTCTTAAAAAAAGGGTATTGACAATTTTTGTTATTGAAGATTTATATAAATAACAATGGTATTGTATTCTATAAAGGGGATATTGTCAATTAACATTAATGAAGATTTATTTAAATAACAATGGTATCCTAACAGAGGGTTTTTCTAATTTTTCTTTTTTCTAATTTTCGATACTGAACATTATTTAAACAATAATGGGGTCCTATAAAATGGGGATACTGACTATTATACTACTGAAGACAAATTCAACTACCAATTTAATTCTATAATTAAGGGGGTACTGATCATTATACTACTGAAGATTTATTTAATTATCAACTGGTTCTTAATTAAGGGATAACTGATCTTTATAATACTAAAAATCTATTTAATTAACGACGAAGTTTTAATTACTACTGAAGATTTACTTAACTAACAATTAGACTGTAACTATGAGGGCACTGACTATTATATTACTGGAGATTTAAGAAACGCTCTCGAAGAGGGTGATACTGATCATTATATTACCGAAGATTTATTTAAATAACAATGGTATTCTTAAAAAAAGGATGTTGACAATTTTCGTTACTGAAGATTTATTAAAATAACAATGATATTCTCTGAAAGGGGTATTGACAATTTACATTATTGAAGATTCATCTTAATAACAATGGTATCCTAATCGAAACCCCTTTTATTTGGATGCCATTCCTAATTTTCGATACTGAAACTTAATTAAATAATAATTTGGTCCTAATGAATGGGGATACTGATTATTATACTATTGAAGATTTATTTATCTAACAATGGGATTCTAAGTAAGGGGGTACTCGCTATTATACTACCGAATATTTATTTAACTATCAATTGTATTCTAATAAATAGGGTACTCATCATTAAACTACTGAAGGTTTATGTTACTAACCATGGAATTCTATAAATGAGGGCTTTTACCATTTGTTTACTGAAGATTTATTAAATTAACAATGGTTTCATAAAAGATACCCTAATTGCATCCAGATATTCAGGTGGGAAGACGTTCGTGTTTTTAAAATTCTGCATGAATTATTTGTTAAAACCCTTTTGTCGATGTTGGATAAAAGTTTTGCCCATTTTACTTAATGGTACTAACTTGTTACATCTTTTCAGATATTTTAATTATTAAGTTCTAAATTAGTAGCTAAGAGAAGCTTTAAAAATATTCTATAGAATATTCTAAAAGTAGTCTTCTAAAGTAATCTTCTAATGATGCCTTCTAAAGGACTTTTCTAAAGTACTCTTCAAAAGTAGTCTTCTAAATTAGTCTTTTAAGGAAGTCTTCTAAAGTAGTCTTCTAAAGGAGTTTTTTAAAGTTGTCTTCTAAGGTAGTCTTTCAAAGTAGTCTTGCAGTTTTTATACCTTCTACTTTTTTAATTCATATCTCCTAAAGTGGCTAACTAATCAACGCTCAACGATTACAAAGTCTCCCATTTTAAAAATCTTATTATTTGACCAAATTATAAAATTCTCATTATTTGACCGACTCAAAAGAATTTTATTCAAATTTATTTAAACTAGTTTATTTAAATTACTAGATACATTATGATTATTCAAATTTACTATACACTGTGATTATTTAAATTAACTTTCATTTGAAAAGAATTTAAGAAAACAATCTTCTGTTCTTTCAGTGCCCAATTGCACCTGTTTCTCTGTTCCGTTTATGTACCCATGTGCACGGAAAAAGTACCATCGCCAATTGGACCATGTCGAGGACTCTGTGAACAAGTTCGCGCACGTTGCTATCCAGTACTTCAAGGTTTTGGTTTTCCTTGGCCTGCGGCATTAAATTGCTCTAAATTTCCACCTCAAAATAATCATCAGCATATGTGTATGGAAGGACCCGGTGAACCTGGACCTGCGATTCCAATTCAGGTAAAATATTCTATTTCCGATTCTTCTCCTAACTGCTTATTACAATAAAAAAAGGAATTCAACTTTGACCTAATTTTTCTATATTATGCGAAACGTTATCAAATTTAGACTTTGGTTTAAAAAATGCAAAAAGAATGGGTGGAAGAGACGTTTTCGTCAGGTGGTTATAAAAGAGTAAAGAAAGAAGGAGTTTTGGGTTCCGCGATAAATTTAGAAACTAAGCCGCAGTTAGGAATACATTTTCCATGACCCTCATACATCAGGAGTTACTTAATGAAGCGGCCTTTCTTTCTCCTCTTCCGTAGACGATTGGTGCCGGCAATGGACCTTGGGGTTGTTCGTGGTACGCCAAATCTGGTCTCTATATCTTTTTAAATCGCTCCGGGAGATGCGCGGCCGCTTGCGATGCCGATATTCTTTGGTCACAAAGGGATAAGAAGATAGCTGAGGCATGGACCGCAGCATTTGCAACAGTTTGCCTTTTCTCAGTTGCCATTGCAATATTCACTGCGCTAAAACCGCGAAAACAATACGGAACAACCAACACAGCCGGTGAGTTAACAATAAAACTTCAATTATACTGTAAGTCCCTTTTGACAAAATAAAACTAGAGAAAATCATTCTAAATTGTAATTTACATTTTTAAAAAATTGTTTTCCATTATACTGTAATTTAAACAATAGATAACGATTTCTATTATTGTTTTGATACACTTGGTAATTTTATGACTGATTTCGAATTGCTTCCTTTCTTCTTGCAGAGAAAGCCATCACGTGTTTGGCCGTATGCCATGCGGTTGTCGCAGTTGGTTACGTGATTCGATTAGCTGCTGGACGAGTAGCTGTCGCGTGCACGCAAGCAATTCCTTTACACTCTCAAGATCAAGTGATCATCGCTCAGCATCAACAGCAGTATCTCACTCAGGACGGTCTTGATAATCCTTATTGTGCCATTGTCTTTTTGATGCTCTACTATTTTGGTGGTGCCGCTAGTGTTTGGTGAGTAGTTTTTCTATTTTTATTTCAAAAACTCCAGATGCTTAACAATGGGGGTACTGGTTACTATATTACTGAAGATTTAAGTAATACCCTCAAGAAGGGGATACTTATCATTATACTACTGAAGATTTAAATAAAACCCTCAAAATGGGAATACTTATCATTATACTACTGAAGATTTAAATAAAACCCTCAAAATGGGGATACTTATCATTATACTACTGAAGATTTAATTAAAACCCTCAAAAAGAGGATACTTATCATTATACTACTGAAGATTTAACCCTCTGCCTACGCTGACAAGTGGATTGTCGGTTTTTGGTGATAACGGTCAACTAAGTAGGCAGAGAATTTATTAACGTCCTTAAGGATGGGATACTGACTATTAGACTACTGAAGATTTAATTGACGCCTTTATATACGGGGGTGCTAATCATTATACTACTGAAGATTTGTTAAATCTAATGCTTAAATGATTTTAAACATAATTTGCATAGTTTCCAAAAGGGTTCCAAATAGATCATTTTAGACGATAACAATCACAAGCGTAGGCAGGGAGTTAACTAACACTGGGATTGTAATTAAGGGGATACTGATCATTATACTACTGAAGATTTTATTATATCCCTTGAAAAAGGATGTATATCAAGTTAGCAGTGCAACTTCACAAAATTCAAAAATGAACAATACTATAATTTGCCGTTAATTAATCGCTAATTAATTGTGAAAGAAATAATTTTGTCGTTTAAATATTTTTTTTTATACAGGGTGCCCTGCTAACTTGATGTCAAGTTAGCAGGGCACCCCCTTGAAACTGTTAAATCAATATATTTCGCAGAATTTCTTGCGCAAGAATTTACCGTTTTTTATCCGTAACAAATCCCATTAATCCTTTTGAAAAATAATTAAAGTTGCGAGGGCAAACAAAAGTTTTCGGGTTTAGAAGTGTAGAATAACCACTTTAACCGCACTCATAGGGTTATTCCTGTGTTTTGAATTTACCGCTTGTCGAATTTAAATGAATTGTGTCCGGGAAAAAATCGTATGATTATTTTCAACTTAACATTAGATAATATCAAGTTAAGCCAACCTCCTATCTCAATTTTTTATATTTGTTTTCATTTTTATAAATTCCACACTTTCGCCACTAGTTGTGCAATGTACTATTGTACCAAATGATCAAAATATTAGTGTACGGAACCCGCTATTTCAGTGCAAGTGAAATTCGCACTTGCCCAGTTTTTTTTAAATGCCGTCTAACATAAAAATAAACAATTATGAAAAGATAAAAATTACTTCGGAGGCGAGGGAATATTAATTTAGTTAAAATTTCTAAAATTTTTGTAAGATCCTGGAAAAAAATTTCAAATATAGTGTTTTTCCTACCTTGGATCCTCTTGCAATTTTTTTTAATTACTTCATACATTAAAATTTACAATTATCAAAAGAAAAAATTGTTTCTAAGGCATGAAAATGATAATTTAATTGAATAAACAATTTAATTTAATACCGAGATTTTTTAAAAAATCATAACTATTATAAATGGTACAATATAAATTAAATTTATCAATCTTTTTCTGTGAAAGTCAGGTGGCAGATTGCACCCGTAGTAATTTCTTAAATCATTAATGCGCGCATAGAATTTTACTAGTAAATTGAATAAGTTAATAAAATATCTCTGAATATCTATAATATATTTAAAATATAAGTAAATAACGTAAATATTTTTTCCATAGACTATAAACGTTGTAAAAATAATCTCAGGGCATTCTAGCGATATTTTTATTATATCCCTAGGATATCCTGTGAATATCCTCTAGATATACCAAGGACAGCCATAAGATATCCCTACACTGTAAAAAATTTATGGAGTTAACGGACTCGGGAGTTGGGAGTGAAATTTTTTGAGTTAAAAATCAACTCCAGAAGAGAGTTAATTTACTAACTTCTACTAACTCCCTTTATCACAAAATTTTATTCACAACCATTGTTTACATGATTCTTTATGTTTTTTTATTATTGTAGATTATGTAAATGCAATATTATAAATAAAAAACCAAACGGTCCGGTTTACCCCAGGGGGTGGGGCAAACCGGACCGTTTGCAAAATTTTTTAAAGTTAACACAGCAACTTAACAATAAAAGATAAGGTATATGTGTCTCTGGGAAAAAGTTGCGCAATTAAATGATCATTCAAACAAGCCATCGAAAAGTGAAATCAGTTGATTCGTTTGGTCACAAGAGTCAAAAAACCGTTAGGGGGTCCGGTTTGCCCCACTCTACCCTATTAATTATTTTTAAGAAATAATCTTCTAAAAATTGAAAATTAAAGATTTTTAAATTCAAAAGTTAATAAACTAAAATAAATAAAAAATAAGTATAAACCAACTATTTACTACTTTTTTTACGTTATGGTACTATATATTTAAGTACTTTTTTTTAGATTTCAGCAACTCGAAGCTACTATTTCTTTTTTTTGAGAATTTGCACTACTTTAAATTCGCTAATACAAGAAATAAAAATATATTTTAATAAAATTTCGCAAAGAAATTCAATTATTCAGAAAAAATTGATAAAATTTATCCAAAATTTAATTATTTTCATAAATAATAAAATTTCTCCATTTTAAACATTTTAATAAAATTCTTCTTAGGAATTCAATTTTTTTTAAATTTTAATAAAATTCTTTACTATTACTATTTCCCAGTAAACGAAAACTAATTGAAATGAATTAAAAAGAATTCACAAAGAGCTTTCGTGAATCCCGCTTTGTAACAAATACGAATTCGAGCCATGATGCAATTTTCCTGAATTCGTGAAACTGTATTGAACTTCCGAACCTTCTATCCGTACCAATTCACTGGACAAGTTTTGAGCCTTTAATTGTTTTTCAATTCGTTAGCACGAATTCAATGCATTCCTTGGCCATTTCTTTCGAATGCGAATTCGTTTGGACAAATTGGTACATATTGAATTAAATTCAATTGAATATACAAAGAGCTTGAGTGAATCCCGCTTTGTGACAAATACGAATTGGAGCCTACCAAAAATGTTAATTCGTTTCAATTCATTTGAATTAGTTTTTTTTTACTGGGTTCTTTTCTAATACTATTTTAATTGAAATTTTGAAAAGAATTTAATTATTGTCCGAATTTTAATAAAAGGCTTCGCAGTAATTCAATTATTATTCAACTCATTAACAAAATTTCTGCAAGGCATTTAATTATTGTTATAAATTTGAATAAAATTTTTTTTAAAAATTCAATTATTTTCATGAATGATAAAATACTTTACAGAAATTCAATATTTGTGTTGTTACTTAAAATAATAAAATCCTTTGCAGAAAATAAAATATTCTCGTATAAATAACATTTTTACAGGGAATCAATTATTTTTATAAAAAATAAAATTCTTTTAGGAATTCAATTATTTTCATAAATAATAAAACTCATTGCAGAATTTCAATTATTTTTTATAAAATTTTAATCGTATTTCTCGAAAAATGTCACTATTCTCAAAAATTTTATTACAATTTGTTGATAACGATTCTTTATGGGAATTGAATTTTAAGAAACATTCAATTCAATTAAAATTTTAGATTAACAATTAAATATCAAAAGCAATATAGCGTGAATTTTTAAAAATAATTGAATTTTGAATAAATTTAATTGAACTTTGTAAATATTATTCTAAGTTTTTATAATTTAATATTTATTTCATTGAAGAATTTAGGAATATTTGAAATTTTGTAAAACTGAATATTGTAAACTATAATGGATTTAAAAATACCATCCTTCTAATTTTAGGTTAGGATTTTTGTCAAAATAATTGTGCGAATAAATTAACCGAGTTGAGTTGTACAATTCGAAACTCCGATTTTCAAATTGGCTAGTTTGATTCGAATTTACTTTCGAATTGGTAGTTCGATTCGAATTTTCTTTCGATTCGAATCGGCCAATTCGAAATTGAACACTTGAACAAAAGGAACTTCAAGCGTATAGAAATATGGATAATAGATATATACTGCCCACAAAGAAAAATTGATATTCTAAAATTAAGAATTTAATCACCGACAGATTAGCTCAGTCGGATAAATGCCTCGCTCGGCGAGATGGACCAAGGGTACTTGGTTCGCGCCCATTAGCCTGGGATTTTTCCGGCACGTGAGATAATCTGAGCGGGCGATTTGAACGTCGAGGACTTGGTTGTGTAATATTCGAGACTTCGAATTTATACATCCAAGACTCGGCGTCGATAAATCGGCTGTACTCAGTTAAAGGTTTTCCGTAGTTTCCCTTAACTATGGCCAGAGAGGGCCATGTGAATACGAGTACTTCTAATAAAAGTCGGCTGCGGACCGCAAATAGGGGGTATTTGGGGAAATCTGGGGAAATTTGGAGAATAATAGGGGGGTTGTCAGATATGTAAAAACCCGAATGGGGTATACATGAAGAGCAATTATATACTATAAAAAAAATATAAACAATAAAGAAAGAATACAAAGTCATTTTATAATTAATTAGATTTAAAAAATTATATTTTTAGGAAAACATTTTTCTTAAAATTTAGAAAATTTTGAATCAAAAAAGTTAATTTATTACAATTAAAATTTATTTGTAAAAATTATAATTATTTACTTCATTTAAATACAACTTATAATTTTGTTATTAATTTAAAAAAATTTTATTTAATTTATTTAATTTAAGAAAACAAATAATTTACATTACTATAAAATAAAGAACACATCTAAGTATTTTTTTATGATAATATAAAGAAGTTAAATAAATAAAAATATGCTGAAATATTATTGTATATTTAAAATTAAATTTATAATAATAACGTAACTTTATAACCATGGAAATTTCTAAAAATTTAATTTTATAATTGCTTATTTTTGAAAATTAAAAATAAAATGAATTCTTCCTCTATAATAAATATACATTTATTTTTCTTTATTAACTTTATAATTTTCAAATTTTTAATTTTCAATGTTCAGAAAA